CTCTCACCTGCCATGTCTCACCTGCCATCTCTCACCTGCCATGTCTCACCTGCCATCTCTCACCTGCCATCTCTCACCTGCCATCTCTCACCTGCCATCTCTCACCTGCCATCTCTCACCTGCCATGTCTCACCTGCCATCTCTCACCTGCCATCTCTCACCTGCCATCTCTCACCTGCCATGTCTCACCTGCCATGTCTCACCTGCCATGTCTCACCTGCCATGTCTCACCTGCCATGTCTCACCTGCCATCTCTCACCTGCCATGTCTCACCTGCCATGTCTCACCTGCCATCTCTCACCTGCCATCTCTCACCTGCCATGTCTCACCTGCCATGTCTCACCTGCCATCTCTCACCTGCCATCTCTCACCTGCCATGTCTCACCTGCCATCTCTCACCTGCCATCTCTCACCTGCCATGTCTCACCTGCCATCTCTCACCTGCCATCTCTCACCTGCCATGTCTCACCTGCCATGTCTCACCTGCCATCTCTCACCTGCCATCTCTCACCTGCCATGTCTCACCTGCCATGTCTCACCTGCCATCTCTCACCTGCCATCTCTCACCTGCCATCTCTCACCTGCCATGTCTCACCTGCCATCTCTCACCTGCCATCTCTCACCTGCCATGTCTCACCTGCCATGTCTCACCTGCCATCTCTCACCTGCCATCTCTCACCTGCCATGTCTCACCTGCCATGTCTCACCTGCCATCTCTCACCTGCCATCTCTCACCTGCCATGTCTCACCTGCCATCTCTCACCTGCCATCTCTCACCTGCCATCTCTCACCTGCCATGTCTCACCTGCCATGTCTCACCTGCCATCTCTCACCTGCCATCTCTCACCTGCCATGTCTCACCTGCCATGTCTCACCTGCCATCTCTCACCTGCCATCTCTCACCTGCCATGTCTCACCTGCCATGTCTCACCTGCCATCTCTCACCTGCCATCTCTCACCTGCCATCTCTCACCTGCCATGTCTCACCTGCCATCTCTCACCTGCCATCTCTCACCTGCCATGTCTCACCTGCCATCTCTCACCTGCCATCTCTCACCTGCCATGTCTCACCTGCCATCTCTCACCTGCCATCTCTCACCTGCCATGTCTCACCTGCCATCTCTCACCTGCCATCTCTCACCTGCCATCTCTCACCTGCCATCTCTCACCTGCCATGTCTCACCTGCCATCTCTCACCTGCCATGTCTCACCTGCCATCTCTCACCTGCCATCTCTCACCTGCCATGTCTCACCTGCCATCTCTCACCTGCCATCTCTCACCTGCCATGTCTCACCTGCCATCTCTCACCTGCCATGTCTCACCTGCCATCTCTCACCTGCCATGTCTCACCTGCCATCTCTCACCTGCCATCTCTCACCTGCCATCTCTCACCTGCCATCTCTCACCTGCCATCTCTCACCTGCCATGTCTCACCTGCCATCTCTCACCTGCCATCTCTCACCTGCCATCTCTCACCTGCCATGTCTCACCTGCCATGTCTCACCTGCCATCTCTCACCTGCCATGTCTCACCTGCCATCTCTCACCTGCCATCTCTCACCTGCCATGTCTCACCTGCCATCTCTCACCTGCCATGTCTCACCTGCCATCTCTCACCTGCCATGTCTCACCTGCCATCTCTCACCTGCCATGTCTCACCTGCCATCTCTCACCTGCCATCTCTCACCTGCCATCTCTCACCTGCCATGTCTCACCTGCCATCTCTCACCTGCCATCTCTCACCTGCCATCTCTCACCTGCCATGTCTCACCTGCCATGTCTCACCTGCCATCTCTCACCTGCCATCTCTCACCTGCCATGTCTCACCTGCCATCTCTCACCTGCCATGTCTCACCTGCCATCTCTCACCTGCCATGTCTCACCTGCCATCTCTCACCTGCCATCTCTCACCTGCCATCTCTCACCTGCCATGTCTCACCTGCCATCTCTCACCTGCCATCTCTCACCTGCCATGTCTCACCTGCCATGTCTCACCTGCCATCTCTCACCTGCCATCTCTCACCTGCCATGTCTCACCTGCCATGTCTCACCTGCCATCTCTCACCTGCCATCTCTCACCTGCCATCTCTCACCTGCCATGTCTCACCTGCCATCTCTCACCTGCCATCTCTCACCTGCCATGTCTCACCTGCCATGTCTCACCTGCCATCTCTCACCTGCCATCTCTCACCTGCCATGTCTCACCTGCCATGTCTCACCTGCCATCTCTCACCTGCCATCTCTCACCTGCCATGTCTCACCTGCCATCTCTCACCTGCCATGTCTCACCTGCCATCTCTCACCTGCCATGTCTCACCTGCCATCTCTCACCTGCCATCTCTCACCTGCCATCTCTCACCTGCATGTCTCACGTGCCATCTCTCACCTGCCATCTCTCACCTGCCATGTCTCACCTGCCATGTCTCACCTGCCATGTCTCACCTGCCATCTCTCACCTGCCATCTCTCACCTGCCATGTCTCACCTGCCATCTCTCACCTGCCATCTCTCACCTGCCATCTCTCACCTGCCATGTCTCACCTGCCATCTCTCACCTGCCATCTCTCACCTGCCATCTCTCACCTGCCATGTCTCACCTGCCATGTCTCACCTGCCATCTCTCACCTGCCATCTCTCACCTGCCATGTCTCACCTGCCATCTCTCACCTGCCATGTCTCACCTGCCATCTCTCACCTGCATCTCACCTGCCATCTCTCACCTGCCATCTCTCACCTGCCATCTCTCACCTGCCATGTCTCACCTGCCATCTCTCACCTGCCATCTCTCACCTGCCATCTCTCACCTGCCATGTCTCACCTGCCATGTCTCACCTGCCATCTCTCACCTGCCATCTCTCACCTGCCATGTCTCACCTGCCATGTCTCACCTGCCATCTCTCACCTGCCATCTCTCACCTGCCATGTCTCACCTGCCATGTCTCACCTGCCATCTCTCACCTGCCATCTCTCACCTGCCATCTCTCACCTGCCATGTCTCACCTGCCATCTCTCACCTGCCATCTCTCACCTGCCATGTCTCACCTGCCATGTCTCACCTGCCATCTCTCACCTGCCATCTCTCACCTGCCATGTCTCACCTGCCATGTCTCACCTGCCATCTCTCACCTGCCATCTCTCACCTGCCATGTCTCACCTGCCATCTCTCACCTGCCATGTCTCACCTGCCATCTCTCACCTGCCATGTCTCACCTGCCATCTCTCACCTGCCATCTCTCACCTGCCATCTCTCACCTGCCATGTCTCACGTGCCATCTCTCACCTGCCATCTCTCACCTGCCATGTCTCACCTGCCATGTCTCACCTGCCATCTCTCACCTGCCATCTCTCACCTGCCATCTCTCACCTGCCATGTCTCACCTGCCATCTCTCACCTGCCATCTCTCACCTGCCATCTCTCACCTGCCATGTCTCACCTGCCATGTCTCACCTGCCATCTCTCACCTGCCATCTCTCACCTGCCATGTCTCACCTGCCATCTCTCACCTGCCATGTCTCACCTGCCATCTCTCACCTGCCATCTCTCACCTGCCATCTCTCACCTGCCATCTCTCACCTGCCATGTCTCACCTGCCATCTCTCACCTGCCATCTCTCACCTGCCATCTCTCACCTGCCATGTCTCACCTGCCATGTCTCACCTGCCATCTCTCACCTGCCATCTCTCACCTGCCATGTCTCACCTGCCATGTCTCACCTGCCATCTCTCACCTGCCATCTCTCACCTGCCATGTCTCACCTGCCATCTCTCACCTGCCATGTCTCACCTGCCATCTCTCACCTGCCATCTCTCACCTGCCATCTCTCACCTGCCATCTCTCACCTGCCATCTCTCACCTGCCATGTCTCACCTGCCATCTCTCACCTGCCATCTCTCACCTGCCATCTCTCACCTGCCATGTCTCACCTGCCATGTCTCACCTGCCATGTCTCACCTGCCATGTCTCACCTGCCATGTCTCACCTGCCATCTCTCACCTGCCATGTCTCACCTGCCATGTCTCACCTGCCATCTCTCACCTGCCATCTCTCACCTGCCATGTCTCACCTGCCATGTCTCACCTGCCATCTCTCACCTGCCATCTCTCACCTGCCATGTCTCACCTGCCATCTCTCACCTGCCATCTCTCACCTGCCATGTCTCACCTGCCATCTCTCACCTGCCATCTCTCACCTGCCATGTCTCACCTGCCATGTCTCACCTGCCATCTCTCACCTGCCATCTCTCACCTGCCATGTCTCACCTGCCATGTCTCACCTGCCATCTCTCACCTGCCATCTCTCACCTGCCATCTCTCACCTGCCATGTCTCACCTGCCATCTCTCACCTGCCATCTCTCACCTGCCATGTCTCACCTGCCATGTCTCACCTGCCATCTCTCACCTGCCATCTCTCACCTGCCATGTCTCACCTGCCATCTCTCACCTGCCATCTCTCACCTGCCATGTCTCACCTGCCATCTCTCACCTGCCATCTCTCACCTGCCATGTCTCACCTGCCATGTCTCACCTGCCATCTCTCACCTGCCATCTCTCACCTGCCATGTCTCACCTGCCATGTCTCACCTGCCATCTCTCACCTGCCATCTCTCACCTGCCATCTCTCACCTGCCATGTCTCACCTGCCATCTCTCACCTGCCATCTCTCACCTGCCATGTCTCACCTGCCATGTCTCACCTGCCATCTCTCACCTGCCATCTCTCACTTACGATCCCATGACTATCCTCCTTGCTGCACTGCACTGCTTATATCTGCATGGTTAAAGGCGTATGGATCCTGTCCTCTGCTACAATTATCACATCACATCCATCATCACACTCACCCTTCTCTTTGTGATTCCTCCTTCCTTCCTACCCTTTCATCCCTGCACTACCACCACCGCACTCCTTTCCGCCTCTGCACTTCCCCCGCCCCTGCACTTCCCGCCCCTGCACTTCCCACCTCTTGCACTCCCCCTCCCATGCCCTCATGCCCACGCCTGCAGGTCAACTTTGATGCCACGCGTGCTCTGCTGCAGGCGTGCAGGGCGGCAGGCCACTGCCCTCGCCTCATCATGGCCTCCTCTGTCGCTGTCTTTGGCGCTCCCTCCTCCAACTCCTCCAACTCCCAGGTGCACTGTCTTTGTGCTGCGCTGCGCTCGCGTGTTGGCACCACCACACTGTGAAGTTCTAGCGCGATAAAGACGAGATTGTTAGATGTGGATGTTGGATTGGGCTTCATGCACTTTACACCCTCAGTGACCCCCCTTGAACCCCCATTGGACTCCACCCTTCATGCTCACTCAGCTTATTGCTTCTTCTTCTGCTTGTGCTTCCCTGTCCCTTCTGCTTGCTGTTTGCTTCTGCCGGTGCTGCGTGGCTGCAGGTTCCATACTCTCAGGACACCCCTGCTCTGCACCGCTCCTCCTATGGGGCTGAGGTAAACCCGCCGCTGCCCATGCCAATCAACGCCATCTCCACTTCTCCCACTCTCTTCACCTCTGTCAACTCCACTCCTTGCACTTTCTGTGCCTTCCCGAATCCCAGAAACTTCGTGATGTTCCCTGCAGCCCCTTTACCCCCCACCTTTCTTACCCTCTTCCTCACGTGTCCGCTCTTCTTTCTCTCCCTCGTCCTAAACCCGCGCTTTTCCCCTCTTTCTCTCTCCATCCCCTACCCTCCCCTCTCTCTTGGCGTTGTCTCATGGCCCCTCTCTCCCCCTCCAATCTCCTCTCAAGAGCAGAAGGCGATGGCGGAGCTGCTGCTATCAGACGGCAGCAGGCGGGGCTTTGTAGATGCCATTGTGCTGCGCCTGCCCACTGTTGTCGTGCGGCCCGGCAGGTACCTCACATTCACACATGGATACATGCACACACCGCCCGCTCATCTACACATGCATAAAGTATTCACCCACGCACACGCACTCACTTGTTCCTTGACCCGCACACAGCTACCATCCCTCCATGGCCCACCCACAGCAGGCATTAACCCCAGGAATCAGCTATGAAAGACTCGCAGCTTCCTGCCTCCCTTGCAGCACGAGAGGACCAGCAGCACGAGCACATGCACACTCCTTCACGGCCCTGCCGCCCGCACTCGTTCTTGCTGTCTGCTTTCCCACTGTCTGCTTTCCCACGCTGTAGCTGGAACCAAGAGAAAGACAGCCATGTGCCGCATGTCACCGGCGTTTTCTTCCCCTGCGCGTGTGCGTCCGCGTGCATGCGTCCGCGTGCATGCGTCCGCGTGCATGCGTCCGCGTGCATGCGTCCGCGTGCATGCGTCCGCGTGCATGTGTGCGTGTGCATGCGTCCGCGTGCATGCGTCCGCGTGCATGCGTCGGCGTGCATGTGTGCGTGTGCGTGTGCGTGTGTGTGTGCATGGCAGTCCCAATGCAGCGACATCCTCCTTCTGCTCGTCCATCGTCCGAGAGCCATTACACGGCAAGCCAGCCACCTGTCCCGTGGACCCTACCCTGCCACTCTGGCTGCAGGTATCACTTTCAGGAAGTCCCAGTGAAGAGTTTTGCAGTTGGTTTAGCTTTGCTTTGTATCACAACTGAGAATTCTCAAGAGTGATACAAGCATGGTCAATTGCAAGCCAGCCACCTTGCCCATGGACCCCGGCCTGCCACTCTGGCTGCAGGTGATGCCTGCTGTGAGCCATGAGCCAGCCAGCACCCCCTGTCTGCTCTGTTGAATGGCAAACCAGCACTCTCCTCTCTGTGCTGTTAAATGGCTGGTGTAACGAGGCTCACAGTTATACACATCCACATTTCCCGTGCAACTTAATCGCTCACACATGTACATGTACATGTAATCCTGGTCTGTTCTGTGTGGTGCGAGCATGCATGTAGCCCTCCCGTACTGTCATCAGCAGCATCCTCTATCCATGCTGCCCCAAATACCAGACCGCCCACATGTACATGTATGTATCACTCCGTTCTGTGTTGTGCGCGTGTGTGTGCATGCATGCAGTCCCCCCGCACAGTCATCAGCAACATCGTCCATGCGGCCCGCCTGCTGACCCTGCCACCCAACCACCCGCGCATCATCACCCTTCCCGGCCTCACTGTCAGTGCCTCCCTCCACTCCACTCCCATGCACGGTGACTATTGAGCCGACTGAAAGTTAAAAGAAGCCACCATGCCACCCAATGCACCACCATCCCTCTTCCCCCTTCTCTTCTCGTCTCCTTCTCTCACCAAATTGCAAAGATCAGAATGTAAACCCATGTGTGTGACCTGCACTCTTTGTGGGTGACAACACTGTCACATACACCCATGACAATCATCAGTCCCTCCCTGGCAGATACCAATATTGGCGTGGTCATGCCATGGACCAGCCAACACTAAAGAAGATCAAGTACTCTGATTTCCTCCGGGCCTCATCTTGTGTGTTCCTCTCCTCGTGTGTGCATCTCTCTTCGTCTCTGCACAGACCAGTGCAGAAGAGCTCGTGGATCAGCTGCCACGCTTTGGAGTTGATCCCTCCCTGGTGAGCCGCCTGCTTGCTGGCTTGCTGGCTTGCTGGCTTGCTGGCTTGCTGGCTTGCTGGCTTGCTTGCTTGCTTGATCTGCTTTGATCTTCTCAGAGTTTTGCTCCCTCATATGCTACTGCAATTTCGACTCCTCGATCCCTAACCTTGATGCACACTGCCTTTTTCTGAAAGAAAATCCCCCGGGGCTATCGTGGAAGAGGGGCGTGCGCGTGGTATGTCCCTGCAGCTTGTTTTTTCACATTTTACGTGCCGTGTGGGGTGTTGCGGATTTGGCATATGGGTTTTGGCACATGTCTCATGGCACATGGCATGTTTCGTGGCACATGGCATGTCTCGTGTGCAGGTTGTCGCGTTATTAACGCCTAGCCGGCAGGCTAAGGCGTGAATTACACAGCAGCCAGGTAATTGTGCATTTCTGGACTTGTACTCTAATTTCTTTTGTGTGCGTGGTATGTACTGTACATACGCTTTACAGAACCGAGTGCAGGGAAATTCGAGGAGGTTGGTACAGAAGAGGGAATTCGATTCCAGCTGGGAATTCGATTCCAGGTTGGGATTGCAATTCCAGCTGGGAATGCGATTCCAGGCTAGGAACTCGATTCCAGCTGGATTGCAGTGCATGCCTAGTGGGCCCAGTGGGAGCCAGCTAGCACCTAGGAGCCATCACGAGCAGTGCAGCTGGCTCGCGTCTGGCACTAGAGTTAGCGTGCTGCAGAAGGAACCTAGGCAGGAGGAGGAGGGAATGTAGTCGAGGGTAGCACTCAGGTTTCTCGCTTTTTGCTTGTATGTTTCTCTTTTTACTGTAATCTTGTTTTCCTAAGCCAAAGGAAGCTAGCAGTAGGGAGAAGCAGGAGCAATCTGACGGAGCCCTTGCGAGGGGGTTTAGACTTGTTCATACAAGCAAAAAGTTGCAGTGCTGAAATTTCAGCAGAACAGGTACAAACGCCTGGAGGACCTGCGGTGATGCACCGTAAGGGATGAGCGGCCTTGATCAAGAACTACATACTCATCAGCTGCGTTCAGGTCACAGATTTCCTGCGCGGAGGATGGAGGGGCAAGACCTGCCGACTAAGACGCCTGGGTTCCGAGCAGAAGAAGGAACAGCGAACGCGAGTGGTAATAGCAGCGCGGATCAAGGAAAGGAGGGCGACCGACAGGGAGAGCCTCTACTGGGCTCTAACTGCAATTCGCCAGCGCCAGGGATGGGATCCTATCAGCCGCCGGGGTTGGAGGATCTCAGCGTGGAACCCCAGAACCGAGAGTGGGAGACCATCAGGAAGATCAGCGGAGCCAGCGAGAAGGAGAGGCGTTTCACGGATTCTCTGCTGGAAGATACGAATCCAGGGAGGCCGGAAGAGGAGATCAGCATGTGGGGATTGGTGAGAGGGGAACGGCGAGCTGGGGAACGGGCAGAACGATAAGTGCAGCCCCACCTAAGATTGAGGTGCCGGATCGCTTCTCAGGAGCGCCTGGAGAGGAGCCCACGCTGAAGAATTACCTTATGATGGTGGATGACATCCGATACTACTGGGAGAGGGAGGGGCATGATCCCATTGAATTCTTCAGAGGATTGGGGAGAACGCTCAAGGGGGAAGCGCTGACGCACTACCGGGTTGAGAGACAAGGGTTGTTGCTGCAGAATAAACGAGGAGACTTCGCGCCGGCGGAAATCACCGACCGATTCCTGGAAAGCCTGCGAGAACAATTCCCGGGACATTCAGCAGATCGGATGACAGAGTTCCAAGATTTTAAGAAGGCGAGAGGAGAATCTCTGCTAGCGTACTATAATCGACTGATGGAGCTGGCCGAAGACATGGGCTGCCTGGAAGAACGGACCTTGGTGTCGAAGTTTGTGGGTGGATTGGATAAAGACCTGATGCAAGATATGCGGAGCCGACTGTACGCGCTGGGGATGAAGGCGAAATTGCGACAAGTGTATCAGGTGGCGAAGGAGGTAGAGGAGGGAAGAAGGTTCTTCGATGGGTTACGCGGAGCGAGCTCAGGAAGATCAGGCGAACGCAGGAGGCCAGCGTGGGCTGCGGTGGAAGGAAAGCGGATGGAAGAAGAACGGAGAGAAAAACCATTTGAAGACAAGCGACGGTGTCACAAGTGCGGGGAACACGGGCATCTGCGAAAGGATTGCGCCATCGACATCATATGCGACATCTGCAAGGAGAAAGGGCATTTCAGGCGAAATTGTCCCAAGGCGCCGATCTGCACCTTCTGTAGGAAACGGGGACATACGGAAGAAAGGTGCTACAGCAAGAAGGAGAAGGGGGGAGAAAAATCCACTAGAGAACAGCAGTTGGAGAGGGAGTTAGCAAAGCTGAAGGCGCAGATGGGTAAGGTGGAGATCAGCGAAGACCCGGAGAAAGCGCTACTAGCTTGGGAAGACGAGGAAGAGGAAGATTACGGGGAGGGAGAAGCTGAGTATGGGACAATGGCCATGTCACCCAGGGACCGAGAAAGTTTGGGGTTGAGGAGTGGAGGGAAGGACGGTAGAGCGGAGCCAAAGCAGCCAATGAGAAGGACGTCAAAGGTACCTGAGGGGACTAACAAGCCGAAGACAGCTCGGCGGCACCCTGAAGAGCGACTGGTCTGCCAGCCCACGGCTCTGGTGGTGGAACCGAAGGCTGTAGCGGTACGAGGGATTCTGGTAGAAAATGCCGTGGTGGATACAGGCGCGCAGAGTGTGTTGCTGGGAAGAAAGCTGACCGAGCAGCTAAAGGCGCAAGGAGGTTGGGAAACAGTGAGACGGGGAATACTGATCATGACCGCAGAGGGAGGGGCTCCTAAGTGGATGCCATGCACTAAGGATTTGATTGAGATCACGCTGCAGCCGGGAGGGGAGGGAGAGACAACGATAAGGGTGCAGTGCGGACTGACAGAATCAGACGACTACGATATTTTACTGGGAATGGAGTTGCTCTACAAGATAGGGACTACGATCTGCACCTGGCAGGAGCAAGTGCTATACCGCTCGGATTTCTGGGAGGAAGGGAAGGAGCTGAGTGAGCTGCCGGTGCGTTTCATCAAGACCGAACCAAAGAAAGCCTGGAGGGCAGGAGGCATGGGGAGAGGAGGAAGTAAAAGCGGTGGGAAGATCATGGAAATCCAGCCGGGGGCAAGCTTAGACCAGTACAGTGTCACACTAGTGGAGCTGTTCGGGGGGCTGGGAGCCGGTTTAGCAGCAGCGCTAGAGGCCGACCTGAGGGTGAAGAAGTGGATCTATGTGGAGGTGGATCCCGAAGTCCGGAGGATGGCCTGGAAACACGCACAGGTACTGCAGCAGCGGTACCCCGCCCAGCTGAGGAAAGATGTGGTGAAGGAGGCCATGCAGAACAAGAAATGGGATGTGAAGCAGATTACCAAAGAAGACGTAAGGAATTGGGGAAAAGTGGACCTGCTAGTAGCCGGCTGGGAGTGCCAGGGTACCTCGAGGGCAGGGAAGGGGAAGGGATTGCAAGATGAGCGCACGGGGTTAGTGACCACGCTACTGGAAATCATGAGGTGGACGAAGGTGGTAGGAGGAGAGTACGCTTACATTCTAGAGCACGTGGATATGAATGGTGACGTTAGGGAGCCGGTCCGAGAAGTGCGTGAGCTGGTGGAAGCAGAATTGGGAAAGGGAGTTAGATGTGACGGGGCGCAGCTGGGGGCACTAACGCATCGGGTGCGGCGCTTCTGGCAAAATGTCCTGCCTGAAGGGGAGCTGCGGGCTCGGTTGGCAAAAGTAGAAAGAGATGGGACTAGGATTGTGGAGGATATCCTCGAACCAGGGAGGGTAGCTGCGCCAGTGGTCAAACCAGATCACCCCCTACAGTACCAATGCAACCGGGTAGGGGAAGCGCGAAGAGCCTGGCCGACGTTAGTGGCTTACGCGAAAGCACGAGGCTTTATTGAGCAGGACGGGAACCCCGGCCCAGGGATGGTGTATGATCACCGTAAAGGGAAGTGGGAAGAGCCAACCGCCTTGGAACGCGAGCTAGCTATGGGGTACTTTCCAGGAGCCACTGCAGCAGAGGGAGTGGGGGAAGAGACTCGTCGGGCAGCTTTGGGCAGGGCGATTGATCAACATTCTCTGAGATGGTTGGTAACAGAGATGCGGAAGGGTCCAGGGCAGCAAGGAGGGAAGCAGGAAAGGCAAGGGGGTCAGTGCTATAAGCAAGCAGCATACGCAGCAGTCGAGAAGATAACCGCTAAGGGGAGCACTACAGATACGCAGGCAGGGGTCAGAGACAGGGAAGCAGGCAAGGAATGGGAGATGGGAGCTGACATAAAGAAGGAGGTGGCAGAAGCAATCAGACAGGTACTGCAGCAGCACAGAGGTACTTTCGCATACAACTTACAGGAGCTGGGAAGATACAAAGGGAGAGAGTTGGAGTTAAACTTAACCACGGAGCTGCCCACTTATCAGCGCAGGAGGCGGATGAATGCAGAAGATGCGGCGATCTGCAAGGAGAAATGCGCGGAGCTGCTGGCAGCAGGGATAATACGCCCGTCAGAGTCGAGTTATGCAGCAGCCACGGTAGTAGCTGTCAGAAAGACATCACGGGGAAGGTGTTAGCGAAGCGGATGTGTGGGGACTTTAGGGACCTGAACAAGATCACCAGCCCAGACCGATATCCCATGCCGACTGCGGATGATATTTTCGATAAACTAGATGGAGCAACGATCTTCTCCACCCTGGACTTACGACAAGGATTTAACCAAATCGCTATCAAGGAAGGGGACAAGCGAAAAACAGCCTTTCACGGAGTGGATGGGCTGTACGAATACAATGTGATGCCATTCGGGATATGCAATGCGCCAGCGGTGTTTCAACGGGCTATGGATCAGGTGCTGAAGGGAATCCCAGCAGCAGCCTGTTATATCGACGATGTGCTCATCTTCAGTGGAAGCGACGAACAGCATGTACAGGACTTGAAGCAGACTCTGGAGGCGATAGCAGCTGCAGGACTAACATGCCACCCGGACAAGTGCAAGATAGCCCGCCGTACAGTGGCATACCTGGGGTTTGAGGTGAAGGGGGGGCGGCTGGCGATACAGGAAGCTAAAGTCAAGGTGCTGGACGATTTGGCTGCACCAAAGGACAAATCTGGGCTCAGGGCACTTCTTGGCTTCCTGAACTATTACAGGAAGTTCGTGCCGAATTTCAGTCGCCGAGCGCACGCCTTGAACCAGCTGCTCAGAGAGGGGAAGAGTTGGCAGTGGGGAGATACGGAGGAAGCAGCCAGGCAAGATTTGCTGGAAGCAGTGAAGACGGGTACCCTGCTGCAGATACCTCGGGCAGATGCGCCATTTGTTCTCTACACCGACTGGAGCAGTATGGGGATGGGGGCAGTGCTTTGCCAGGACATAGACGGGGAAGAGAGAGTCGTAGCATTCGCCAGTCGCAGCTGCAGCCCTACGGAAGCTAACTACAGCTCGTACGAAGGGGAGGGACTGACCGCTGTGTGGGGTATCACCCACTTCAAAGTGTACCTGCAAGGCCGGCACTTCACGCTAGTGACCGACCACCAGCCCTTGCTATGGTTGATGAAAAACCAAGAACTGACGGGCAGGAACGCCAGGTGGGCAATCAAACTGTTGGGATTCGATTTTGATATCCGTCACCGACCGGGTAAGACACTGCAACACGCGGATGGGTTATCCAGGAACCCGCCTCCGATGCAGCCAGTTGCACATCTGATAGCATTAGCACAGGTGACAGAGGTGACTTGGGGGCAAGAGAAGGGAGAGCAGCGGCAGGTGGATGTGTGGGAAGATCAGGAGACCATGGGGTGGATAAAAGGAGAGCTGTTAGAGGACTCAGGAGTAAGCGAACGGGCCAGGGCCAGGGGGCAGCACTACCGATGGTTTCAGGATCAGTTACAGCTGCGCACTAGCGAAGGATGGCGCGTTGTGCCACAGCCGCAAGACAGGGAGAGGATCATGCTAAAGGTCCATGGGAAGTTGGGGCATTACGGGATAGCCAGGACTCGACAGCTGCTGAGCACTATGTACTGGTGGGCAAGCATGAGGAAGGACGTGGCTGCAATGGTAGCAACCTGCGAAGCTTGTCAGCGAAACAAGGCTGCTTTGGAGAGAGAAAGAGACGAGCTGCAATCCCTACCGATCCGAGGCTTGGGGTACCGATGGTCGCTGGATTTGGCAGGAGAGCTGCCGCTGTCTACTAAAGGAAAGCAGTATATCCTGGTAATGATAGAGCATACCAGCAAGTGGGTGGAGGCCAGGGCCTTGTCCAGCAAAAACAGCAGCTTGATCGCTGAGGCTTTCGTGCAAGAGGTGCTCACCAGGTACGGAGCGTGCGGGGAGGTATTGACTGACCAGGGGACCGAATTCCAAGGCAGCTTCGAGGAGATGCTGAAAGAGAACCGGATTACTCATCGTGTGACTTCAAGGTACCACCCGCAGTCGGATGGATTGACCGAACGAATGATACAGACCTTAAAGAAGGGACTGAGGGCATACGGGGAGAACAACAAGAGGAATTGGGACAAGGAGCTTCCTTGGATTCTGGCGGGATACAGGTTTGCTAAGCAGTCTGCTCTGAAGAATCTGTCACCCTACCATCTGCTGTACGGTCGGGACCCAGTCTTACCTGTGGATGCACCGAAGCTGTTGTCGGTTGCCGTGGAGGCAGACGAGCCTGGTTTATGGGCCGAAGTAGCACAGAAGAGGGCACGGTACCTGAGGGAGCTGACACCAGCAGCCTTGGACAATTTGCATGTCGCGCAGCTGAGGGATGCACGCCGATATCAGCAACGCAAGGAGGAGGGTAAAGGAAAGCAGAGGGAGGATATAGCGGCAGGACAGGAGGTATACCTGAGGAAGGCGAAGAGGGACACACTGGACTTAGCCGTGGGTCCTGAACGGTGGAAGGTGAAGGAAGTGCGGGAGTCGGGAGTCCTAGTGTTGGAGGATCAGCGAGGAAAGAAAGTCAAGGAGCATGTGACGAATGTGGCTCGAGCGAAGGGAGTGCAGATTCAGGCTGAGGATCCCGTGACCAGAGCTGCTGGAGCTGCTGCTCAGGCACGGGAGGGGGCAGGGTCGCCTGATACACGCGGAGGGAAGGAGAGTAAGCTCATTACATATGCCAGGAGGAACAAGGGTTAGGGGGGTGTCACCTGCTGGAAGAAAGGGGACAGAAAAGTGAGAAGGGTGGAGGAGAGAAAAGGGAGGGAAGGCTTCAAGGAGAAGGGAGGCTCAGCCGGACTTGCATCACGACAGCTGTCGCGTTATTAACGCCTAGCCGGCAGGCTAAGGCGTGAATTACACAGCAGCCAGGTAATTGTGCATTTCTGGACTTGTACTCTAATTTCTTTTGTGTGCGTGGTATGTACTGTACATACGCTTTACAGAACCGAGTGCAGGGAAATTCGAGGAGGTTGGTACAGAAGAGGGAATTCGATTCCAGCTGGGAATTCGATTCCAGGTTGGGAATGCAATTCCAGCTGGGAATGCGATTCCAGGCTAGGAACTCGATTCCAGCTGGATTGCAGTGCATGCCTAGTGGGCCCAGTGGGAGCCAGCTAGCACCTAGGAGCCATCACGAGCAGTGCAGCTGGCTCGCGTCTGGCACTAGAGTTAGCGTGCTGCAGAAGGAACCTAGGCAGGAGGAGGAGGGAATGTAGTCGAGGGTAGCACTCAGGTTTCTCGCTTTTTGCTTGTATGTTTCTCTTTTTACTGTAATCTTGTTTTCCTAAGCCAAAGGAAGCTAGCAGTAGGGAGAAGCAGGAGCAATCTGACGGAGCCCTTGCGAGGGGGTTTAGACTTGTTCATAGGGTCGCCTGATACACGCGGAGGGAAGGAGAGTAAGCTCATTACATATGCCAGGAGGAACAAGGGTTAGGGGGGTGTCACCTGCTGGAAGAAAGGGGACAGAAAAGTGAGAAGGGTGGAGGAGAGAAAAGGGAGGGAAGGCTTCAAGGAGAAGGGAGGCTCAGCCGGACTTGCATCACGACAAGGTGCAGTGGATGCCAGATCCATTCATCAACAACATAGTGGCGTCATGGCCAGGCCACATACACACGCCCACGGCAGTCCAACTAGGCTTCAAAGCAGACACGTAACTAACTCATCGTGCCCTCCCTTTACGACCTGCACTCTTGATTTTCCCCTCACCATGTGCCCTGTGCCACCGAACTGCCATCTTGTCTGCTTGTGCCTGCATCCTTCCCTCCCCATCCCTCCACTCCTTTTGCCCCTTCTTCCCCTCGCTTCTCCCTACCTCACGCACTGCACATTCAGAGACATAATCAGAACCATCTGTTTTCTGCACACATGCAGTGTCCTCAAGTTCATCACTCCTTGCCTCTGACCCGCTTCCCAAACCCCAACACACCGCTTTTGTTGCTGTCTCCGCCCTTTGCCTTGTGCTGCGTTTGACTCTCTCCCAGGGATGTGGCATCGTTGGTAGAGGAGTATGTGCAGGAGTATGTTAAACCTGTGCAGTGACGACCATACCTGCATGTGGTGTAACGTGCACACAAGTGCTCGAATGAGTATGCGATACGACAAAAGGTACTACCAGTATGAGTGAACGGATTTGTATTGATATGTCAGGCAGACTGCTCTGGGTCAAGACAGTCCAGTTTATCAGGGTTAATATTTTTGTGATAATGCATGGGGAGTTGGATTGAAACTCTATGATGGCAATGATCTCTAGCATGCCTTGAAGCAGCCTCAGCAGAACCATCTAACGTGGCACTTCATTATGAAATTGATCCGCTGACCGTTTTCAGAGAGCAAGCTCTACACAGGTACCGTGCGCACCGAAGCAGCATCATAACGTGTACTGTAGCATGCTCATCACATCCAATAAATAAAAAGCACCCTTTACAAAGCGCGATCACATATTTCTAGCATTAGTCCCCTCTGCTCCATCTAACCCTAGGCCCGATACATAGCAGCAGCCTACCATATCACAAAGGTTGGGCAGAGTAAGGCCCAACAAGTACTGGTAGCAGCGGATCTGTAGGCCCAAAGGCAAGTGTAGCACACAGATAGGACAGACAGACTACCGGGCCAGTAGTACTGGTATTAGGTATGGTATACACACACACACCATACAGAAGCCAGTGGAAAACCACAGGGCAGGAAGGACCCTGCCTTCATCCATGTTGGAAGGTTTACGATGGGCCACAAAACGACATGGTTTCCTTTTGCCTGTGCAGGGCTTCACTTTCAAATGTTCCGAGGTGATGATCCTGCTAGGAGAGTGAAGAAAACATGGATTAGTGGGGAGCAAAAGAGCGAGAGCTCACATCAGAAGGGCATGCGAAATGAAGGCAGGATTGTGGATATGCATGCATGGGGATGGCAATGCAGCATGAGAGTCGGGACTTGCATTCACATATGGAGGTGGAGTGGAGAGTGAGAATGGTCGTGGGATACAACATTCAGTTGCACAACGGATGTAGGCAATACAGAGAAGAAAGGAATTGTGCATAAGGTGCGTGTGTGTCCGCAGGTGTGCATGTATATGCAAATGCGCGATTGTGTGCAGTGTGCATGTGAGTACGTGTGCATGTGCGCATGTGCACGAGTGAATATGTCCATGTGTGCATGTGTGCATGTGTGCATGTGTGCATGAGTGCATGAGTGCGAGTGCATGAGTGCATGCGTGCATGTGTGCATGAGTGCATGTGTGCATGTGTGCATGTGTGCATGAGTGCATGTGTGTATCCATGCATGTGTGTATGCATGTGTGTATGCATGTGTGCCTGCATGCTTGTGTGCCTGCATGCATGTGTGTCTGCATGCATGTGTGTCTGACCTGAGGCACCCACGGAGCGCCAGATGGAAGCAGCACTCCTCTCCATCACCTCCCTCACCTCCTCCGCGTTCTGCCAAGCACGCATGCACACATGCACCACATGACAGACACACCGAAAACATCTTTTGAGGATTATTTTTGAGAATTCTAAAAAAAGGCACTCTTCATCACATGACAGCGAAGCAACGTAATGCATGCCAGATGGCGCAACACAAAATGACACGACGTGACATGGTGTGACGAGAGTTGAAAAGACGTGCAATGTAATCACAGGGAACGACGAGCCATGGGAAGGATAGTTTTTGAGACGTCATAAATGTAATCTTCTATCACGTGAGCTGAGCTGGCCAAAACGTGCAATCTAACTTCAGGAAACAACGACGGGTCATGGGAAGGACGAACATGAAGGCACGGTAATGCAGAAGCTGCTTCCAACAGTATGAACAACACAGGCTTCAGAGTCTAGGAGAAGGGAGGCAGTATGGCCCAAGAAATTCAACATGCGCAATCCCCAAGCTTCAAATGGAACTGCACAGCACCCCTTCATATCCCACCCAACCTCACCCTCCCCCACTAGCCCGCTCCCTCCCCACCACCCCCCCAGACCCCACGACCTTTTTCCTCCTCCCATGTGTCCCCCCACCCCCATACTGACATCGCATTGCTTCACCAGCTGTGCTCGCTTGGGCATGGCCCACCCCCACAGCCGGCACGCCACGTTCACTGCCCGCGACTTCTGCTCATTGCTCAAATGCCCTGGGAGGGGGGGTAAGCCGGTGTCGCGGGAGGGGAAGGAAAGGAGGGGAGGGCATGGGGGGGACAGGAGAGAGAAAGAGTCACTCACAGCATGGTCGGTGATCGTGAGGAGTATCTAAGCAACCAGCACCGACACATGTTTTGTGATGTCTCAAAAGCAGTTCGACGACTGTCCCCACACACACTCACAGTGATCGATCGATCATGGTGCGTATCTGCACTGAGACGACTTTTGAGGCGCCTCAAAACCCACACACACTCACAGTGATCGATCATGCTGCGTATCTGCACCGCAGAACCAGCAGCACCGACCCAGCAGACCAGTCACCAAAGAGACTCTCAGTCACATCCCTTGACATGGTGATTATCTGCGCGACCAGCAGCGGCAGCACATCCCTTGAAATTTTACCACCCCCCCATCCACCCCCCCCCCACACACTCACAGTCATCGGTCATGGTGAGTATCTGCGCCACCAGCGCCGGCACGTCCGCGAGGGGCCACTTGCGCGAGTCAGCCACAGTGGCAGCGAGGCGGGAGGCGATAGCGAGCGACAGATCAGGCTTCTCCTCGTCCAGCGGGTACACTATCTCCAGCAGCGCCGCGGGCCGCATGGCGGGGGACGTGGAGTCGGGGAGCGCGAGCAGCAGCCCCCGCAGACCCCAGTCAAAGACTTCGAGGTCTAGAGGGTCCGCGCAGGAGCCTTCCTCGTCTATGGCCTGGGGGGTGGAGAGCACCGGATGGTTAGGAACGTGGGGGAAGCGGCAGGGAGATGATGATCACTGGTCAGTCAGAGCGACAGGTCAGGCTTCTCCTCGTCCAGAGGATACACTATCTCCAGCAGCGCCACTGGGCACATGGCGGGGGACATGGAGTCTGGGAGCGCGAGTAGGAGCCCCCGCAGACCCCAGTCAAAGACCTCCAGGTCTAGTGGGTCCGCGCAGGAGCCCTCCTCGTCTATAGCCTGGGGGAGTGCGACAGGGGGGAGTGTGGGGAGGGTTGGGAGGGTGGGGAGTGTGGGGAGGGTTGGGAGGGTGGGGAGTGTGGGGAGGGTTGGGAGGGTAGGGAGGGTGGGGAGGGTTGGGAGGGTTGGGAGGGTGGGGAGGGTTGGGAGGGTGGGGAGGGTTGGGAGGGTGGGGAGGGTTGGGAGGGTGGGGAGGGTGGGGAGGGTTGGGAGGGTGGGGAGGGTGGGGAGGGTGGGGAGGGTTGGGAGGGTGGGGAGGGTGGGGAGGGTGGGGAGGGTGGGGAGGGTTGGGAGGGTGGGGAGGGTGGGGAGGGTGGGGAGGGTGGGGAGGGTGGGGAGGGTGGGAGTTAAGTGTGGTGGGGCTGCAAATGGAAAGCGGTAGAGCAGCCATTGGTGTGGAGCTGAAGGAGAGGGTTTTTGAGTCGACCAAAGGATGACTATGACCACAGGAACAAACATGAGCGCACCTCGTGTGCATCCCTGAGCGCACCTCGTATGTGTGCATGAGCGATTTGACGTGCATGGACTCGAGCAGCAGCGGCAGGTGCAGCTCCGTCTCCATGTTCCGCCCAATGCGCAGCCACACCGCCCACCCCACTTCCGTCGCCGGCTCCACCATCCTCTCTATCACCTCTATCGCCCGCTCCTCGCCGCACCCCTGCTCGCCTCCCGCAGCAGCAGCAGCGGCAGCAGCAGCAGCGCCGCTCCCCAGCCACCGGTTGAGCATCACCAGAGCACTCAGCTCCTTCTCCCTCCAGTCAACCACAACATTGCCCATTCGGGACACGCCCAGGGCACCGCCTGCTGCTCCGGGCCCGCCGAGCAAGCCCCGGGAGTGCATTCTGAGGAAGTTGAGAGTCACTTCGTATGCCCACGGGTGGCAGAGTTTCATATCGGTGCATCGCAGCATGGCGTCTGCTAGCTCTGCTACGTACGATGCTGGCCTGTCCCGCCTGCTCACCCCGCTGCTGCTGCGATCCATCCCCATGCTGCTGCTCGTGCTCATGCCGCTGCTGCTGCGCTCGATCCCAGCGCCGCCAACAGCACCAGGACCGTTGCCAGCCCCACCACTGCCACCACCTCCCGCTCCTCCTCCTCCCCCTCCCCCTCCCCCACTCCCTCCTCCACCTCCCCCTTCCACAGTTGCAATATGCGCAGTCTTCACCGTACTAGCCAAGCGAGCGAATCTTGCGTTAACCGACTCCGCCCCGCTGCCCTGAAACACCATGCGGATCACATGGTCAAACCCATCGGCCGCCAGCCGTCCCGACGCCACCGCGCACAGCACCACATGGAACGCCGCTTCCTCCAAACCCAGCGACTCCATATGCAGAGCGAGGGAGACCATATCGTCTGGGTGTAAATGCTTCATCTCCCTCATTTCCGCTGCTAGGTTCATGGCTAGAACGCCCGGGCCGAGTCCCAGGCTGTAGTACAGCCGATCTATCTCCTCGCATCGCTCCGAGAGATTGCTGTGCTTCGCCCGCGCGATACCCTCTGCTAAAGCCACCTCGGCGAGGCTTGCCAGTCGCATGGGCTGCCAGGGCTTCTGGGTTCGGTGGCTGGGGAGGAGGAGGTTGGGGCGCGGCGGGGAGGAGACGGAGGTGAGCGGGTGGTGAGAGGACGCGGGGTTGGTTGGGGAGGATGGGGAGCCGGCAGAAGGGAGGGCGTGTTGCGGGTGGGTGAGCGTTCGGTCGTGGCATGCTGTGAGGACGGCTTTAAGGCAGGAGAGGATGAAGGCTCGGCAGGCAGGGAGGTTGGAGGGTACTCTGACGTTGAGCACTCGGCCAAAGCTGGGAAGTTCTGGGGCAGAGGAGAGGAGAGATGCGCTGGCAGCAGTAGAGGATTGGAGATAGGAGGATGTGTGGGGGGATGAGGAGAGGGAGGATGGCACGAGTGTGGAGAGCGGCGGGGAGGAGGCAGAGGCGGAGGCGGAGGCGGAGGGGGGCAGGGGAGGCATGGAGGAGGATGTGGGGTTGGAGGAGGTGGAGGTTCTGGAGCTGAAGAACGGGGATGAGGGACGGGGGAAAGCAACAGGGAAGGACAGCAGACTGCTATGCTTCGCCTGTGGCTGCTGCTGCTGTTGTTGCTGTTGTTGCTGCTGTTGCTGCCCTGCCCCTGCTCCAGCACCTGCACCAGCACCATATCCTCCTCCCCCTCCCATACGCGCCACACCTTCCAAAGGCCCAGAATTAGAAACCGCTCGTCGACGAGTCCACCCAGGGGACCCAGGCTGACTCCCGCCACTTGCACTACCTCCTGCCGCTCCTGCCGCCGCCCCCACTCCTCCTCCTCCACCACCACCACCCAGCAGACCCCCCATGTTCCCCGACCCAGCCAAGCCAGACGCGCGAGCCGGCGGCGTGAGCGAGCGAGACGACGCTGCTCTGGCCTGCAAGCCAAAGTTACCACTGCCCTCGCGGCCCAGCACCCCGGAGCCCTCCCGAAAGAGAGAGCCTTCTCTCGGCCACGCAAAGTTGTTCGCGAGGAGCTCAAAGCGAGCGATGCGATGCAGCAGGCGCAGCAGACACATGCACGCCGTGGCAGGCTGCCACGAGCTGATCGCTGCACCTAGCCCGGCCACCAGGAGAATATCATCATGGGAACACGTGGCTGGTTGCGGCGGCCCCGTGCCTAGCGCCTCTGCTAGGAGCCTGGCTTGCAGGCTTCCTTCCGGTCCCCATCCCTTGCCAATCCCTGCCCCGTGACCTGTTGCTGCTGATGAGAAATCTCCTGCGTTGCCGGCATCGGCAGCGCCTGCTGCTGATCCTGCTGTGCTGCCCGCGTTGCTGCGTCGTCTCGAGTGGTGCTGCTCGTGCCGGCTGCTGCTGCTGCTCAGGGATTCCCGTTCCTGCCTCCCCATGCCGCCAGCACCGCCATCGTATGAGTAGCGGTACGAACCAGAACCCTCCCTCTCCCGCTCCCGTTCTCTCTCCCTCCTCCTGTCCTTCTCCCACTCCCTCTCCCTCTCACGCACCCTGTCTCTCTCCCTCTCCCGCTCCCGCTCCCTCTCCCTCTCCCTAGGCCTATCTCTATCCCTCTCTCTATCCCTCTCCCGCTCTCTCCAGGGGGAGCTAGAGCCACTACCCAAGGGATCCCTCAAAGGAGACGCACCAGCAGAGTCAGGAAACCGAGGAGACAAAAACCCGCCCACGCTGCTCCCCCCTCCACTCACACTGTCCCTCTCCCGGTCCCTACTCGCCTGCTCCTCCTCCTCCTCTTCCTCCACCACCCACTGCGGCTTCACCTCGCCCCACTGCTCCCAGTACTTGAGCCACACTGCCAGCCCTGCCACAAACACCTCCCCCACATGCGCCTCGCTGAGCTTCTCCGCACTGTCCGCCACTCCTCTGAACTTCCGCCGCACCCATTCATACTCCCGCACGGCTTCGGTGGCGGACCAGTGCCGGCTGCGGTGGCGGTGCGTGATGCGTGTGACGCACACAGGCGCCGCATCAGACCATGACCGATCCGACAGAGAAGACACAGGCCCCGCTCGGCCACGAGAGGACGACGCAGACGATCCCCCGCCTCCCCCTCCTCCTCCTCCTCCCCCTCCCCCACCTCCTCCTGCTCTCGATCCATACGGGACGATACACTCATCCTCCTCATCGTCATCATCCATACTGAACGCATGCGTGGCTGCACCACCCGGCATGAGTGACACGGCGTCATCATCATCATCCTGCCCTGCCAGGCGCTGCAGCATCATCTCTAGATACTGCATGAACAGCCACGACCAGTGGTCTCGGCACTGCTGCGCGCGCCGCCGCGCCGCCGCCACGGGGCCAAACTCCCGGTGGAGCGCGCGGGCTGCTACCACGGCAGGAACACCGTGCGCGTGGCCATGCCCATGCGCATGGGCGATTTCTGGGCGGCGCATGATGGAGAGCGTGCGCACGTAGAGCAGCTCTGGAGGCATGTCCTCGTCTATGGGAGCGTGGATGTCATGGTCATAATCATGACCCACAGCACCTACACCATCACCACCCAGGTCTAGGTCTAGGTCCTCATTGTCATGGCTGTGACTGTGGCTGTGGCTGTGGCTGTAGCTGTGGGGGCTTGCTTCATCTGTGTCTATATACCCCTCCTCCTCCTCTTCCTGCTCCTCCTCAGAGTGCTCGCCGCCATACATGCGCCTGGAACCGCCTTCCCGTTCACCCACCACACCCCCTCGCCTCCGCTCCGCATGCCCTCCCCTGCTCCCCTTGCCAACCTGTGAGTGCCCATGCTTGCGGCCATGCACCCCCCCATGACTCGTCCCATGCCCCCTCCCATGCACCCGCACATGTCTGCTTGCACCGGGAGACATCCCATCCTCCTCCCCTTCCACCTCCTCACTCCATACCTCGTCCTCATCTGTTACTTCGTTCCCATGCCCATGCCTTCTGAAACCACCTCCTCCCTTCGCCACCACCCCACCTACCCTCTTCCTCCTCACCCGCCCCGCTCCCACCACCCTTCCACCACCCAAATCAGACTCACTACCCTCCTCACGTCCCACCTCCTCTCCCTCCCCCTCTGAAGAATACTCTTCCTCCCCTTCTGAATAAATCCCATCACTGTACTCCGAATCAAACCCAGCATCGCCACTCACAGACCCGCCATCCTCCTCACTCAACAGCTCTTCCTCACTGTCACTAATCAACTCCTCCTCTCCATCAAGCATCACGCTATCATCATCTTCCCCATCAACATACTCACCCTCTGACTCTTCCTCATAAATATCCTCCACTTCCTCGTCCTCTTCTTCCTCCTCCCCCACGAGATTCCTGGCAGGCCCTCTGATCCCCTCCTGTCTCAGCAGCAGCACCTGTGGGCTCGTAGGCTCGCCATCAGTCTCATCCTTCTCTGCTCCCGCCTCGCCACTCTCCATACTAACCTCCACGCCAACACTCACCTGCTGCCCCTCCTCCACCGCCCCCAACTTTCCTCCCTCTCCTCCCTCTCCTACCTCCTCACCCTGTCTCTCCTCACCCACCACTTCTCTCTTTGGTTCCTCCCTGGCATCATCACCAACAACACCATCCTCACCACCCATGCTGCTGTCTACACCCACCACACCCATCATGCCTACCTCTGCCTCCACCTCTCCTTCTCTCTCTATCTGCATCTCGGTCTCTATCCTCTTCACCACCGTCTCACCACTCTCTCCACCACCCACACGAGCCTCCACTCCGATGTCTCTTCTTCCTCCTCCTGCCCCATCCTCTTCCATCGGCTTGCTGCTGTTATCACCCTGCTCCTGCTCCTCCCCCTCCTCCACCCTACGTGCCCCGCCCTCTGCCCTCCCCATCCCGCCAACTTCCGCTTCCTCATCTACTCCGTCCTTCTCAGCAGCAGCAACGGCAGCAGCAGCACTTTCTGTCTGCGCTTCAGCAGGCAAACTTGCGCCATTTCTCTCGTCCCCAACAACCTCCTTCACGACTCCCCTCTCGCCTGCACAAACTCCTTCATCCACCCCTAACCCTGTGTCTGCCTCTACCTCTCCTTCTTCCCCCCCCTCTGCCCCTGCCACTGCCCCTCCATCTGCCTCTGCCTCTGCCCCTACGCCTGTCCTTTCCACAACCTCCAAGTTAGTCTGCACAGGCACTGCAGGCACGCCTATCAGCCCCGTTTCTCCCACTGCATTCCCTCCCTCTTCCTTCCCTCCCACACCCTTCCCTTCCTCCTCCCCTGCGTCCCCCTCCCCAGCTTCACGGCTACCCCCATTCTTACCCAGCCCCACCTCCCCCATCATCCCCCTCACACCATTTTCACGCCCCTCTTGCACCTCCACCACCACCCCGTCACCACTCCCTGCCTCCACACACCGCTCTGCACCTGCTGCTGCAGCAGGCATGGGCAGTGGCGGAGGAACGATGGCAGCAGGAGGAGTGGTGGGGAAGGAGAAGGGAGTTGGTGCAGAGACACAGGAATCATCACCTTCTCCTGCTGCTGCTACCCCTGCTATCCCTGCTACCCCTGCTGCCCCTGCTACCCCTGCTACCCCTGCTACCCCTGCTACCCCTGCTACCCCTGCTACCCCTGCTACCCCTGCTGCTTCTGCTGCCCCTGCTGCCTCTGCCGCCGCTGCTGTTTCCACTGGCGCTCTGTTTTCTGCCTTCTCCTCACCTTCTGCAACCACTGCCATGGGCAGACCAGGAGCAGAGGGGGGCGGCAACGCAGCAACAGCGGCATCAAGAGCGGAGGAGGAAGAGGTGGAGGAAGCGGGGGTGTGTGGGATGATGCGAGGAGACAAGGGAGGCAAGCCATGCGCAGCCCCATCTACCCCTGAACCCCCGCTGCCGAACCCACTTCCCACGCTACCAGCCCCAACCTGCCCCTCCTCCACCATCACTCTCGACCGGCTCCTCTCCCTTCTCCTCTGCCTCTGCTCCCGCCGCTCACTCGCTTCCGCGCCGCTGAGAGCAGCAGCAGCCGCGGCAGCGGCGGCAGCATTGGGCGCGCTTTTGGGCCCTCCTCCCTGCGCCCACGCCTCGCTGTGGTGCTTGGGCGGTATATGCAGCATGTCTGGTCGCACGCGGGACTTGGACCGCCTGTGCGAGTGCGACCGCTCTGCCTTCCCATCCCCTCCTCCGCCTCCTTTCCCCGTCCCCTCCCCTTTATCCTTCCCCTCGCCCTCCCCCCCGCCTCCTCCCCCTGTCTGCACTGCGCTCTTCTTCTTTCCGCCCTTCGGCGACGACATCCCCCCACCTGCGCCATCCCCTTTCTCTCTGCCCGCTTTGTCCTTCTCTCCGCCCACCATCCCTCCCTTGCCACCACGGGGGCTAGTTGCACCCAGAGCCGAAAGTCCTGCCCCTCCGCCCTCCCCCCACGCCAGCACTCCCGCCAGATCCGCGCCTGACCGCGACTTGCTGCGGTGCCGCTGGTGCCTGCGCGCCCCAACACTCCCCCCTGCCCCCCCTGCTCCCCCTACCGCCCCTGCCGCCGCCGCTGCTGCTGCTGCCGCCGCAGCCCCTTCCCCGCCAGTGCCTCTGGGACTACGCGCGGGGCGGGGGGAAGGCGCAACCCACGCATGCGCACCAGAACGAGGGGAAAAGAGGATAGCAGACGGTGTGCTGGGGATGCTACTGCTGGGGGTGTTCGGGACAGTAAGCGGGGTAAGAACCTGATCCAGGGTAAATTCCCCTGAGCCACAGAAGGCGGCGGAGGAGGAGGCGTCAACGGAAGCAAGAGCAGCGTCTACGGCTAGCAGCGAGTCTGAGTCGAGGAGAGAAGGAGACATCACTGCTCGCGCTAGCAGCTCTCCGCTTGCTGCTGCTCGCGACCTGCTGCGACCCAGACGCCGCTCCCTGCGAAATGAAGCTGCAGAGGCAGACGCTATGCCTGCTGCTGCTGCCCCTGCTGCCCCTGCTGCCCCTGCACCGGCAGCAGCCAGCCCACCAAAGGAGCCTGTTTCCAACCCGACGCCTTCCAGCCCCCTCTCCCAACTGACAGTCCTGCCAGAATCAACCCTGCCGGTTCCCCCCAGCCCTCCCTCCCCCACGGCCACCTGTAAACCCCCCGGCACCTCGCCGCCCCCTTCGTTCTGCTGCTGCGTGCCGCGCTGCTCTGGCACCGCACTGTCAGCCGCACGCGCCCCCGCTTGCTCCCCATCTCCTCTACCCTCTGCTGCTACTCCCGGAAAAGAATCTGCACCAGTCGCAGCAGTCGCAGCAGCAGCAGCAGCAGTAGCGGCAGTATCATGTGGTTTAAGCCAGCTAGACGCGCCCACTGCTCGCCCCAGCACCATATGTGGAGTACTATCGGATACAGACACAGGCACCCCACCTCCCGCGCTTCTCCCTGCGCCTGCGTCATCTCCACCAGGGCTGTCACCACCACCAGGAGACCTGTTCAGCTCCTTCTTTCCGCCCGTGCTGCTCCGACGGGCCACCCTCCTGCCGCTGCTGCTGCTCGGCCTCACACACGCAACAACGCCCGCCGCGCTCCCTCCTCCCTCCCCTCCTCCTATCTGCTGCTGCTGCTTGCGCGATTCCCCCCCGAACATGCGCGAGGCTCCCCCGAGCAGCCCCGCAGCGGTGGGGGAAACGAGGTCCCAGTCCAGCAGCGACTTCCGCCTGCCCCTGCCCTCCGCGCCGAGCGGAGTGAGAAGCGGCGAGGGCGTGGACAGCGGGGACGACGCCGGGACCGCCCCCGGGCCCTCCGCGCTCGATACACTCGGCACCTTTCCGCCTGCCCCTCCCGAATTAACAGGGCTAGCGAGAGGGCTGGGGGTGCGCGGGAGCAGGGTCTTCTTCGCGGCTTCCTTCCGCCTGTCCAGGGAGAAGGAGAAGGATGCGCCCATGAAGCCCCTGGGGCTCGCAGTGGCCGCGTCTGCGGTCTGCGGTCGCACTAATGCTGTTGCTGTCGCTGCTGCCGTTGCGATTGTACCTGCACCTGCAGTTTCTGCTGTCGCCTGCTGCTGCTGCCGCTGCGCCTGACCCTGCGCGCCTCTGCTTCCGCTGCTGCTCCGCATCTTCCCCACAGGAGACTTCTGCGCGGATGATTTGGAAGGTCTAGCCTCGCTGCTATCCGCACCCACCCCCGTGTCTTCCCCACTGTAACACATCTCCCCGCTGGTAACCCCACTGCCGGAGCCAGATGCGGAGGATCCGACGGAGCGCCGAAGCGCGTTGAACTTCCACATGCCCTTTTTAAGCGCCGCTGCCATCCCGCCCCGCGCGTGCGCGTCCACCGGGGAGAGCACAACGGGGGACAGCATCTGCTCCGGCGTCACATCGCCCGCGCTCGCGCCTGCGGCGGGGGGAGTTCTTCCGCCGTCCGCGGTTGCGCCTGGGGAGTCGAGCGCGCCAGGGGGTGGGAAGTCGGTGGTGGAGGACTTTCGAAAGAGTCCGTGGAAGCGGGAGGCGGTGCGCGGGGTGTGATGCGGCGTGTGATGCTGGGAATGCGGCTGCGCGTCATTGCCTTGCGTGGATTGCGAGCCGTGTTGCTCAGGAGTGGTGGTATTAGCGGGCTCGGCGCGCTTGTGAGGGTCGCTGCTTCCGTCATGCGAGACCAGCAGCGCGAGCTTGCGGCTCTTACTGTTGTACCACTTGCGAAATGTCGCGTCCGTACCCTCACCTTCGTCGCGATCGCGATGCGACGACCCATGCTGCTGCTCCTGCTGCTGCTGCTGCGACGAAGGCTCTACCGACGTTCCTTTGCCTTTGCCGTGGTGCTTCTTCCCCCCATCCAGGCTTCTTCGCCGCTCCTTCCCATGCTTCTCCTTGCCGCTGCTGCTCTTCTCCTTGCCGCTGCTCTTCTCCTTCCGAGGCGGGTCGGGAGACGACTTCCCGACCACCGCACTCTCACCGCGAATCTCGGCGAGCATTGCGGCTGGCTCGAGAAGGGGACCGGGAGCAGGGAGTATGGAGCAGGGAGCAGACGTGCGCTCTCAGCTCTGAGTACTCAACGGTGGTTCGCGAGGCAGACTGCACGCGGGCAGCCGAAGGCTGGATCGAAACGGTTAAAAGGCTCATGGACAGCGTATGCCAAGCGGAAGTGCAGACTCGCCGGCATACGCCTTTTTTCAGAATGTCTATCAAATGCTGTGTAAAGACATGGAGAGATTTAGCGGCTCGCAACGTCTGGCATTGCCAAGGAACGACATTTCCATAAAATGTCGGGAGACGTGGCTTTGCTGAACGGAGGCGGAACGAATGCCGCTGCTGAGTGGATACAGTGCTGACAGGAAGAACTCGATGGTGTCTCGAAAGACTGCTCTCCTCACTGTTCTTGTGCTGGGGGGGTTGTTACAGGCGTATCAGAATGGGAAGCAGCATCGGACTGCAGCCATGAAAATGAACACACATGCAGGAAACCCTAACCAATGAATGGTTCTCATGGTTTGGAAATGGATGGATCCAAGGTCCACGACGGTGTACATACCATCATTACTTGCTCGCGAAAGGCCTGCTTGCTCACAACGACATCTCCGCTCACACATCACAAAATGAGGACGTGGGGGAAAGAAACTGTACAGTATGAGGGATTTATAATAAAGATACTAGAGGTACGACAGCCTGAACGACTAAAATGATTCATAGTGGGCTATTGTAGCACATAGTATTTGGGCTGGAATTCCTTTAACAGTCCAAATTTTATCATCACTTATCTACCCTATATTGTAGTGCTCTTATATTGTCATGCCGTTTTACATCCATAGTATATCGAAATAAAAAAACCATATATGTAACTTTATGATCCCTTATTATATAGACCTCTAAAAACTGCACATGCGTTGGGGGTGAAACGAAACATGAAAATCACACAATTGCAACGAGATGAGTACAATTTCTTTTAAACGAAACATTGTGGATAATATAGGAGTTAGTTTTGGGCTCCGACGCTCGCACGAAAGATCATGCCATACGGCCAGCGCCGATGCGGAGTCTCGGTTGTGCTTGTAGCGGAGATAAGTGGATGAGGGCGAATTATTGTCCTTGGCACGTGTATGACGAATTCGTTGCACTCGACTCGACACGCAGCAAAAGCCGAATTCCCCTTTCCACGTCAATGTTGGTTGAAGGGCATTGAGAGGATAAAATGCGGCTGATGTAAATATAATTCAGCACATTGACAGCATCTTTCCTTCTGCTGACAGCACGAGCTATACTCTTTGTATGCGAATATGAATGTCACGGCGGCCTCCCCGCAGAGTCATACAATCGTAGACATTGCGCTGGGAATCTCGCATAATGAGACCGTGAGGCTAGACAACAGCTGGCAGAGCATGATGGAAGGAGCAGCATTACTAATTTCAGCGGAGCACCATGGGTCCGAAGAGTCCCTGCGAAACGGCTTCTTGAAATCAAATGGTGGCTCACGGAGCGAGGCTGAAGCACGGAGCGAGGCTGAAGCACGGAGCGAGGCTGAAGCACGGAGCGGCGGGGCTGCTCCAGTTGCGCCTGGCACTCCCATGAGCACCACCACGGTTCCTCTTCTCCAACAGCAACACCTAGGGAACTCCGAATCTGATGTGGCAGCATGGAATTCGTCGCCCGTGCCCTCCGCCGGCCGTCAGTCGCAGCGGTTGCGGGAGGTCGGGCGCGTGCACTGGCGGGCGGAGCGCGGCGGACTAGCGGGAACCCGGGTGGGGTTTGGCGGAGTGGCGCTGACGTTGGAAGTGACGCGCGTGGAGGAAGACAAAATGGGGGAAGAAGGTTCCGGAAGGGAAGGGAGGGGAAGGGGAAGGGGAAGGGGAGGGGGAAGGGGAAGGGAAGCGGGAAGTGGAAGGGGAGGGGGAAGGGGAAGGGGAGAGGGAAGGGGAAGGGGAGAGGGAAGGGGAAGTGGAGCGGGAAGGGGAAGGGGAGAGGGAAGGGGAAGTGGAGAGGGAAGGGGAAGGGGAGAGGGAAGGGGAAGTGGAGAGGGAAGGGGAAGGGGAGAGGAAAGAGGAAGTGGAGAGGGAAGGGGAAGCGGAGAAGGAAGGGGAAGGGGAGAGGGAAGGGGAAGGGGAGAGGGAAGGGGAAGGGGAGAGGGAAGGGGAAGGGGAGAGGGAAGGGGAAGGGGAGAGGGGAGGGGAAGGGGACGAGGGAAGCGATCGTTGGCACTACTGATGGGTGAAAGGAGTGATACGGGAGAAAGAAGTATTCGTCGAAGGGTGGGTGCAGTGGATGTGGTGGGTAGGATGGGCGAGGAGGGCGAGGAGGGTGAGAGTGCAGTGACGAGGAACGATGGGGGCCATGTGCATGTTGCAGCAGCAGCAGCAACAACAGGGGCAGGAGCAGGAGAAGCAGAAGCAGGGGCAGGCGCAGGGGCAGGGACAGCTGTGGCGGAGTGCCAGTCTATCGCTGAGTGGGTGTTGAGATGGGGGGGGACTAGTGTGCGGAGGAGGAGGAAGAGTGCGTGTGAGGAGGCAGTGTTGGCTGCTGATGCCGGTGGTGATGCGACCTTGACGACGGTACGCGCGGTGGTTTCCACTCATGCATGCACGTTCGAGGGTATGGTTCATATTCCTGCCGCTGCTGCTGTCCCTGCTGCTGCTCCTCCTGCTGCCACTGCTGCTGCCCCTCCTGCTGCCCCTGCTGCTGCTCCTGCTGCTGCCCCTGCTGTTTTCAGCACAGATAGCTTCACCATTGCAGCAGTCGCGGATGATACAGTTGGCATGGAAGTGGTTAGTTCGCATGGAGGAGACGACAGTCTTGGCGACGATGGTGATGGCCAGGGGCGCTATGGTATAGACCTGGAGCCAGGGGGGTGTGAAGGGAGTGGGGAGGCGGAAGTGAGGGAGGCGGAAGTGAGGGAGGCGGAAGTGAGGGAGGCGGACGTGAGGGAGGCGGAAGTGAGGGAGGCGGAAGTGAGGGATGCGGAAGTGAGGGAGGCGGACGTGAGGGAGGCGGAAGTGAGGGAGGCGGACGTGAGGGAGGCGGACGTGAGGGAGGCGGACGTGAGGGAGGCGGACGTGAGGGAGGCGGACGTGAGGGAGGCGGACGTGAGGGAGGCGGACGTGAGGGAGGCGGACGTGAGGGAGGCGGACGTGAGGGAGGAGCGTGGAAGTCAAGAAGACGGAGTTGGGTCATGGCAAGATGAGGGGCAGAATGCGAGGGGTTTTGGAGAAGTAGTTGTGTGCTCACCTGCTGGTTCCGCTCCTGCTGGCCTGTCTTCCGGCCAGCCCACTGTGAGAAGCTCAATTGTACATGCACATGCACATGCACTTGCACAGGGCTCCCCCCCCACCCGCCCACCTGCCATCCCGCACTTACCCCATCCCATGCCACCTCCTTCCACTCTGTTGCATGCGGCATCATCACCTCTTGTGTCACCTTCTACTAGCCCCGATTCTCTCCTTACTACTGTTCCCCTTGCCGCCTCCATTCCGCCTACTCCGCGTACTCCTATTTCTCCTATCTCTCCTATTTCTCATATTTCTCCTTTGGCTCCTATATCTCCTAGTCTTTTGACGCCGTCCCTACTTTCCCGTCCACCACCTTCGGCTCCCTTCCTGCAACCATCAGCACCGCATACCCACCCACCTTCACCCTTTTCAAGCCCATCTGCACCACTCCCTCACCCAGCTGCACCGCACTCACCGCACAGCAGCAGCAGCGGCAGAGGCTCGTTGGACCTCAACCTGCCGCCGTCTGCTGCAGACAACATTGACTCGTCATGGCTCCATGCTCCTAAAGGCAAGCGCAGGAACCGGAGCAAGGGGCAGGACGGCTGCAACGGCTGCATGGGCGGGCTGTCCTCCCCTTCACCCATGCACCACCCTCCTCCTGCTTCTCCTGCTCCCGCTCCTCCTGCTCCTATTCCTCCTGCAACTCCTGCTCCTCCTGCCCTGCATGCATCCCCTGCCTCTTCTCCGCTGTCTCCCCCTCCTGCTGCTGTGCTGTCGCCGCCTGCTGCGTCCCCCTTCCACACAGCGGAGCGTCATGCCAACTCTCCTCCTGCTCACAACACCCCCACGCCCCTTCTCTCCACGCCCACCCAGCAGAGGACTGCTTTCTCCCCACCCACTTTCCCTGCAACTCCTCCATCACTCCTTCCTCGTCCCTCTGCCACTTTCTTCTCCCCCTCCACTACTCGCACGCCTTGCTTCTCTCTCCCACCCGCTGTCATCGGCTCCCCTCTGCGTCCTCTCAGAATCGGTCACCTTTTCTTCCCTTCTCCCAACGCCGCCCCCACTACAACTGCCACTAGCACTGCCACTGCCACTGCCACTGCCACTGCCGCTACCACCACCAACCCTTGGGCCTCTGCTGCCGCTTGCGTCACCAAATCAGCTATCCCAACGTGGAACAACCGTGATGCGCATACAGGGGGATGCCCTGTGAATAGCTCATGTGCTCCTGCTGCTGCTGCTCCTGCTAATGCTACTGGTGCTCCTGCTGCTGGTGCTGGTGCTGGTGCTGGTGCTGGTGCTGCTGGTGCTGCTGCTGCTGCTGCGGGTGTGGGAGTAAGCATGGGGATTTGTGATCTGGATAATGAGGATGCTTTGGAGAATGTGCCTTTAGCCATACGTTGGCTATCACAGCAAGGCAGAAAGCGCGGGGGATGCGATGGGGAGGAGGACGATAGTGAGGGGGAGAAGGGGAAGGGAGACGATGAGATGGGGGGCGGGAGCGAGGACGGGGAGGAGAGCAACAACAGAGAAGAAGGGGTTCTGGGGAATGGCGGTGGTGGCAAGGAGGCAGAAGCAGCTAATGGAAACGGCAAGTCTACTCAGCAGGGCCTTGGTTCCTCCCAGGCATCTCATAAGCACAAATCTTCTCAACGGCGAGGGAAGAAGGCAGGAGAAGGAGGAGGTAGTGGAAGAGGGGAAGGGGTGGGGTCGGGAGGCAAGAAGGGGACAGCTGGAGTTCAAGGGCGTGGAGAAGACTTGGAGGGCGTGGGAGGAGATGGGAACGGGAAGGAAGGCAAAGGGAAGCTGAAGAGGAAGCGGCACCCGCGGCCTAAAGTGGTACGGGATGGTGGGATGGGGGGGGGAGGTGCAGGCGGAGGTGCAGATGTAGGAAGAGGAGGAGGAGATGGGAAAAAAAAGGGTGACGCTGGGAACGGGAATGTGAGGAATGGGGCTGATAGAACGGGGGGTAATGGAGACTCGGGTGGGATGGTTGATGGGAAGAAGAAAGGTGGGGGAGGGAAGAAGGGGCAGGCAGGTGCAAGGGAACCAGGGGGTGAAGGGAGTGGGGGCGGAGGAGGGAATGGAGGGGATGGGGCAGTGCGTGTTGGCGTGAAGGGGAATGGTGCATGCAGTGGCGGAGGAGGATATATAGGCGTGGCAACAGCTGCTGCTGCTGCTGCTGCTGCTGCAGCTGCTGCCGGTGCCGCTGCTGCCGCCGTCGCTGCCGCCGCTGCTGCTGCCGCCGCTTCTGTCGCCGCTGCCGCCGCGGCCGCTGCTGCTGCTTCTGCCTCTGTTGCTGCCGGTGCTTCTGCTACCTCTGGCGATGCTGCAATGGACGGCCATGCGTTTCGTCCTCCCCTGCATCCGTCCACACCACTCCCCGCTTCTGCATCCGTGCACTTGCAGCATTCACAACAACAAGTGCTGCAGCTGTCGCAACAGCAGGTGTCCCAGCAGCAAGTATCGCAGCAGCAGCAGCAGCAGCAGCAGCAGCAGCAGCAGCAGCAGCAGCAGCAGCAGCAGCAGAGGTGGCAGCAGCAGGGGTGGCAGCAAGTCGTGGTCTCAAGGCAGCTGATGCCACAAGTCGTGGCGGCATTGCAAGAGAGAGTGGCAACCTCATTCACCACCCAGCATGCTCCACCTATCCCTGCACCACTGCAAGGCCCAATCCGCATTCCTGCGAACCTGTTGCTAATCCCATCCCACATGCCCTCTGCACCCCCCTGTGCCACAGTCAGGCAAAACACTGCATGCACAGCTCATGCTGCTCATGCTGCTCATACTGCTCGCACCGCTCGTGCTCGCACTGCTTGCACAAATCGTACAAATGGTATAGATTGTACAGATGCAACAGATCGTACACATTGTGCAGATGGTATAGAACGTACATCAACCCTTGCTCTTCGCCCCGCACTCGCTGCCACACCCACTTGTGCCAATCGCTCTCCCCTGCCACCACCCCCTGTGCTCTCTTGCACTCTCGCCTCTCCTGCTGCCTCTCCTGCTCTCCATCATCCTGTTGCTGCCTCTCAGGCCTCCGCCCCTGCTCACTCTTCTCCTTTCTCAAGCTCAAATGCCGTGCACCAGACTCCTGCCCCTTCAATCCCTACCGCTGATCCCCCTCCCCTCCGCTGCAACCCTCCACTAGCTCACCAACCCCTCGATTCTCCACGCCTTCCCACATTCCCTTCTGCTTCCGATTCCTTTCAGTCCCCTCCATTTTCTCCCCCATCCCACTCTCTACATCCTCCGCCAAGGCGAGAGCTCTTCTCCTCCTCCTCCTCCTCCTCTTCCACCTGTACTGAAAAGCTTCTGTACAAGCCACAATCAACGCATCTCCCACGTCACAACCCATCTCTCCCACACCCCCTCCGTTCCTCTGCCTGCACTACTACCAACGCCTCCCGTGATTGCCTCTCCCCTCGCACACCGCACACTGCAAGTCCTGCTGCCCCTCACACCACAACTACCCACAATACCCCATTCCGGCACCCTACGCAACTCCCTTCGTCTCTGTCCCCCCTTCGCCTTCCTCCTCTTCCTCCTCCCCCTGCTGTCGATCCTGTGCTTCCTGACTCATCCAGTCAACCCCCCCCCACCCTTGAAGGCCCCTCCACACCTCTTTCTTTCCCCTCACGCCTTCCTTCCGTTGCCATTGCTCCTCAGAACGCCCCTCGCGCCCCAGCTCCTCCCTTCATGCTCAACTCTCTTATTCCTCCTCGCCCTCCTTTCAATCCCCATGCTCCCTCATTGCTACCCCTACTTTCCACTCCCCCGCTGCCATCGCCACTGCCTGTACCTTCACCCACCCTTGTGCTTACCTCAGCAGCTCAATCGTTCCTTTCAAACCTGCTCCCAAGCCTACCTTCGCACCTCCCTTCACGCCTCCCTTCACATCTACCCGCACACCTCACCCTGCATTCGTTCACCGCAGGATTCGCTGCCGGTGCACTAGCAGCACATTCCCAGCTGCCGCATTCAGCAGCAGCAGCAGCAGCAGTGGCTCATGCAGTCCAGAAACCCTTGGCACCACCAGCAGCAGCAGCACATGGCAGCAAGGCGCCGACAGTGCCCGCCAGTGGCCCAGGCAGCAAGGCGATGGCATTGCCTGACAATGTGACATGGGTGGGAGAGAGGTTGAGAGTGGTTGAGAGGGTGGAAGTTGACAGAGAGGTCAGATCCTCAGTTCCTGTGGCTGGTGCCGTGATTGGTAGGGTAGGGACGAGGGATGGGAGGCACATGGGCGATGGGATGATGCAATCAGGAAGCCGACTGCAGGTGGTAGGTCAGGTGGGAGTGGCACCAGGACAAGGCGTGCAAGTGGATCCTTCCACTGCTACTGCTGCTGCTGCTGCCGCTGCTGCTGTAGGTGTTTCTGCTGTTTCTCCTGCTACAGCACCTCCTGCTATTGCTGCCACCCCGGCTGCACATGTGCACGCTCTCTCACCCAACACACCAGCACCCCAAGCATCAAAACCCCAGGCAGCTGCAGCAGCAGCAAGGGCAGCAGCAACATCAACAGCAGCAGCAGCAGCAGCAGCATCCCCTGCTCCTGCGTGCATGCAGCTAGCAGTGCGTGCAACTCTACCCATGCAGCCCACCCGGAGCAAGCCCAAACCCGGCAAGGCCACACACGCGCGCCCAAGAGTGCAGTTTGACTCAGAAACAGAGGGGCAGAGGGGCAGCAAGGCGGTGCCTGTGGGCATGTTGGAGTGGGCGGAGGCGCTGGAGGGGCCGGAGAGGGACAAGTGGAGCGAGGCACAGAGACAGCTGAGGGAGAACGTGGATGTGTTCATTCGGCGCATGCGCTTCGTGCAAGGTGTGTGGGTGGGTGGGTGGATGGGTGGTGGGTGGGTGGGAGAGTCCGAGTGTTGAATTTTGCGTCGACTCAAAAGGTGCAGCCGCAGCTGAGGAGAATGTTGATGTGTTCATCCGGCGCATGCGCTTCGTGCAAGGTGTGTGGGGCAGTGGGAGGATGGGATGGTGGGTGGGAGGTTGGTAGGAAAGTGGGCAGGAGGTTGTTGAGAACGTTGATGAGTTCATCCGGAGCATGCGCTTTGTGCAAGGTGTGGGCCAGTGGGAGGGTGGAACGGTGGGAGGGTGGAACGGTGGGAGGGTGGAACGGTGGGAGGGTGGAACGGTGGGAGGGTGGAACGGTGGGAGGGTTGGTGGAAATGTGTTGTTGGTTGCTGGGAACGTGCATGTGTTCATTCAGCGCATGCGCTTCGTGCGAGGTGGGCGGATGGGTGGGAAGAAGGGTGGAAGGGACGGTGGTAAATGGAGTTCTGTGTCGGTGTTGGTGTTGTGATTGTGGCTCCATTGCTCCCGTGAGTCCCTCGCTCAATTGAGAGCATGACTCACGCCCGTTCGCCGGCCTCTTGCGTGTGCGTGCAGGTGACCGGCGTTTCAGTCCATGGGGAGGGTCCGTGCTGGACTCTGTGATAGGGGCGTTCCTCACTCAGAACGTCAGCGACCATGCCAGCAGGTGCGGCTAGCCATGACTCTCCATCCCCGTCCTTATCTCCATGTGTTACTTTGCTCTGCGCGCGCTGCAACAATTGATCACCCAAACTCATTCTCTAAGCCACCAGACATTCTTCCAAGCATACTATAAGCCCGTGTTTCTCGACTCCCCCTCGCCTTTTTATCAATAAACCCTCCATCAACTCCCACCCGTCCCGTCCGCTTCAGCGTTCTGTGCCACTCTTTCCATGTCGCTCTTTCCATCCCCTGCAGCTCGGCCTTCATGCTCTTGGCGTCTCGCTTTCCCCCCAAGAGGCCGGATGGGGACAACAGGGGTACGCCGGCGCCATCTCAGCAGCCTGCTGCTGCAGCGCCCAGCAATCAGCCTGCAGCAGGAGCTGCCTTTGCACCTGGCGCTACAGCTGCCTCTGCACCTGCTGCTACCGCTGCCTCTGCACCTGCTGCTACCGCTGCCTCTACACCTAGCGCTGTAGGGAAGGAAAGAGAGAATGGTGGCGAGATCGCAGGAGAGGCCGCAGGGAAGGATGTGGGGTTGCTGGCTGCGCTCTGCTCTGCTGTGGAGCAGTTATCGCTGAAAGACAGCGCTCTGTCCCCTCACTCTCACCAGCGCCACAAGGTTCCCAGTCCGCTGTGTGTTGCTGAAACCAGGTTAGCAGCACATGGGGCAGGAGCTGGGGAGCACGGGCAAACCGAAGGGGGTGAAGCAGGGAAGGAGAGAGGAGTCGGGGAATGCAGACGGAGGGAGGAAGGGGAGATTGGAAGGGGAGAGGAGGGCAGTGGAGGGAATCAGGTGGGCGAGGGAGGGATGGAGTGTGTGCCGCAGTTGCAGGATGGAAGAGGTAGCAAGGGCGACGGGGATGGTTGGCGGCTAGGTGAACGAGGCGATGCAGTGAAGAGTGGAGCAGTGAAGACGAAGACACTGGTTGAAGTGCTGGCACAAGGTGGAGAGTCGGTGATTCGAGGGCAGCAAGGGGTGCCGGGGATTGTTGAGAATCCTCCAAACACTCCTGCAGATGAAGCAGTGAAGATGAAGACACTTGTTGAAGTGCTGGCACAAGGGGAAGACTCGGTGATTCGAGCGCAGCAAGGGGTGCCGGAGATAGTTGAGAACCCTCCAAACACTCCTGCAGTTGCAGATGCAGCAGAGAAGGTGAAGCCATTGGTTGAGGTGCTGGGACAAGGCACAGACACAGTGAACCCAGCAGGGCAGCAGGGCGTGCTGGAACTGGAAGAATCGTGTTTTGAGTCGACTCAAAACACGGCGCAAGGCAAAGACACAGTGAACCCAGGACAGCAAGGCGTGCTGGAACTGGAAGAAGGTAGTAAGGGCACGTGGACTGCACTTGAATACACCGCACGGGCAGTGCGAGAGGAGAAGGCTGGTGGGTTTAAGGTGTCCGGTGGGAAAAAGGGGGCGCTGCAGCAGCAGCAGCAGCATGAGCAGCGGGTGCGGGAGTGGGAGGAGATGCGGCAGCAGGTGCTGGTGAGGATGAGGCGGGAGGAGAGGAGGAGGGAGAGTGAGAGGAGGGAGGCGGAGGATTATGGGATGAGGTTCGAGGAGGTGCCTTGTGTGCGCGTGGTTGAAGTGGTGGAGTTGGTGTCAGGGGAGGGTGTGGTGGGGGGTGAGGGTGTGGTGGTGGGTGAGGAGGCATGCTTGGTTGTGGGAGAAGCAGAAGAAGCGGGGGACGTGACAGGTGTAGGAGGAGTGGTAGGAGTTGCAATGGAGATGGATGTTAGGGGGGGTGAAGAGGGAAGTGGTGATGCGACGAGATTGGAGGGTGATGAGGTTAGGGCAAGACTGGAAGGCACAGGAAAATTAAGTTCCAGTTTCCTCTCTGTTATTTCCCGTGCTACTGCTGCCAATGCTGCAGGCGATGCTGCTGGTGATTGTGATTGTGGTGCTGCTGCTGATGCTGGTGATGCTGATGCTCATGCTGATGTTGACGGTGATAATGGTGGTGATGTTGATGCTGCTGCTGCTGCTGCTGCTGGTGGCGACAGTGACACAAACATGGGTGATTGCGAGTCCACAGACCACCCACAGCAGGCACATCACATCGCAAGTGACAGCAGCCTACTGGGAGCCGCCGTGATTGGGCTGACTGGTGGGGCGTTAGGGGGAGGGAAGGAGGTGCAGGAGTGTGTGGACTGGCATGCAGTGTCTCAGACCGATGTGGTCTCGCTGGCTCGCATCATTGCCGATAGAGGCATGTCTGCCATGCTGGCCGGACGAATCAAGGTAGGCTACGCTCGGATCATGAAAGCACTCCTAACATTCTCAACACTCTGCCACCAGGCGTCTCTGGCTAGTTTTCCTCTCGATTTACCACAATTCTACCCACCCACTCCATCCTTTAGAATGCTATTGCTTCTTCACGCCGAGTCTTGTCGGCTGGTCATCACTTGTATAACCCATGTTAGAGGGCCCCATCCCCACCCCTCCCCTCCCATCCTCTTTTCCACCCCGCGTCAGGCTCTCCTGACGCGTCTACAGACACAGCACGGCTCGCTCAGTCTCAAGTGGCTGCTGATCATTACTTGCATAACCCATGTTTGAGGGCCCCATCCCCACCCATCCCCACCCCTCCCCTCCCATCCCCTTTCCCCCCCCTCGTCAGGCTCTCCTGACTCGGCTACAAACACAGCACGGCTCGCTCAGTCTCGAGTGGCTGCATGCACTGCCTGTCAGACTCGCACAGTCAGTCCGCCGTTCCCCCCCGCTTCTTCACCCTTCTTCCGCCCGTGATAAGAGTAGTGTTGTGAAACATCTCAAAACAGTCTCGAGTGGCTGCATGCACTGCCTGTCAGACTCGCACAGTCAGTCCGCCGTTTCCCCTCCGCTCCTTCACCCTCCCTCCCTCCGCCCTTTACTTGTTGCCCTTTACTCTGTTTGCCCACCTTCCTGTCCATATGTCAAAATAGTGCACCTCCGTAGCTCCCCCCAACCCAATCCATGCTGCCATCCCATCCCACCGCCACCCTTTACCGCCTATCTCCTCCGCTCCGCCTTTCTCTCACCTCTGGTCAATCGTCTTTCCCATGTGTGTGTCGCCACCATGCATGCGAGCAGGGAGTTCCTGGTGAGCATCCGGGGCATGGGGCTCAAGAGCACTGAGTGCATCCGCCTCCTCTGCTTGCGCCACCTCGCCTTCCCAGTGAGCTAATTAGCTAGCCGCATAGCTTGTCAGCTTATTGAATAGCTAGTTACTTTGAGAGGTGCCTCAAATAACCTCAATTGTCCTTACCGTCCCTCTCAACGCTATATGACCCCCCAGGGTGGACAGCAACGTGGGCCGCATTTGTGTGTGCCCGCGGTAGTACTGATTCGCCTCAAGAAAACTCTGTTCATTCCTCCTGTCCCTCTGAACGCTGTACAACCACCAGGTGGACACCAATGTGGGGCGCATATGTGTGCGCCTGGGGTGGGTGCCCCTGGAGCCCCTGCCGCACGACTTGCACCTTCACCTGCTGGAGCAGTAAGTTTGGGGGCCCTCAGGGGCAGTAAGTTTGGAGGCTCCACCTGCTGTATCAAATGTCTGCTTCAGCAATGTGATGCAATCAGGGTACAACATTCTGACTTCCTGAGCCCTGATCATCAACCCCTCACTCACGCTCGTTTCGTTGATTCATGCTCGATCACGTCTGACACTCTCTTCGCAGCTTAGTCTATCCTAATCTCTGTTTACAACTCTAAACCAAGAGCTACTCACTATTTTATTCACGTAGGAAGCACTTCTAAACTAGTGTAAGGAGCGCAGGAGTTGTAAACAGAGATTATGATAGACTAAGCTAGTGAAGAAGAGAGCGTGAGAGGTGACGGAGCATGAATCAGTGAAGCGAGAGTGAGTGAGGGGTTGATGGTCATGGCTCAGGAAGTCAGAATGTTGTACCCTGATTGCATCACCCTGCTAAAGCAGACTTTGGATCCAACAGGTGAAACCTTCAACTTTGTTGTGCCCTTCTTGCACTTGCTGCTCCAGTAGGGGCAGGGCAGGTCGTTCAAGACCACCGTATATTGAACTACGTAAGGCAATCTTCCAGGCGCTTCAAAACTCGTGCTGGGCCAATAAGTTTTGGGGACGTCTTGTAGCATGGGCGTGAGCATGCTGATGTGCTGAGTGGAGGACGATTGTTCAACCTGTCCCCTGAAACATCTGCTGGAGAAGAAGTCGGGCTGTGTATGGGCTGGATATCCGGCTGAATTTCCAAGTTCTCACCCGCAGCACTCAAGAATCACTGCTGCAAGGTTTGAGACATGCAATGTTTAAGAAATATCTGTCAACCTCTTTGTTCCTTTGGTCTTGCCCCCGCCTCCCTCCCTTCCCCAGGTACCCAGTTCAGGAGAGTCTACAGCGGTACCTGTGGCCACGGCTATGCGGCATGACGCAAGAGATGCTGTCAGTGACTCAGTGCACATGGCGTGGCATGGCATGGCATCGCATGGCATGGCATGGCATGGTTCAACATGAATTGGCATGGTGTGGTATGGCATGGCATTGGGTGCCATGGCCTGACAAGGGCGGGCATGGGTTGGCATGCATTGGCATGACGTGGCGTGGTGTGGCATGGCATGGCCTGCCTTGTCTGTGGTCCCTCCTTGTGCACTCACCCTCAACACTGCACTGCACCATGCTGCTAGCTCGCTTTGCTCAGCTTTGTCAACTCTGCTTGTGTCATCGTTCGTCATCCCTCTCCCTCTGTCTGCCACTGTGTTGTGGTGTGGACGTGCTAGCGCTTTCCTTCCTCTCCGTGCCTTCTTTGCCCGTCCTTGTCCCCACCACTGCAGCTACGAGCTTCACTACCATATGATCACCTTCGGAAAGGTAACTTTTTGCAGTACAAAAACAGCAGCAGTAGCACCCCTCAGCATTGCCTGCCTGTCAACCAGTCCCTTCCCTGGTGTTCTTTGCCTTTAATATTGCAAGATTTGTCGTTCCGCAACAAGCCACTGAGTTCCTCTGAGTGCTCTCAACCTCCTCTGACCTCCTTTTACTTTGTCTAATTTCCACTAAGTTTCGCCTGCAGTCCTCTGTGATTAAGTAACCTACATGCATCCTTCCTCAAAAGCACCAAATCAGTCTTCCATCATCCCATCCATCCCCCCTGTCCGCACCGCACCACCGCCCTGCATGGCACACGGCGAGCACAGGTGTACTGCACGAAGCGCAGCCCCAACTGCATCGCGTGTCCCATGAAGGACAAGTGCCAGCACTTCAACAGCGCCCTCAATGCGTACGCCCTTTACACCTAACTCCCCCCCCACCTCTCTCTACCTCTCCCCACCTCTAAACTACCCCTCCCTGCCTTTCTTCTTCAATTTGGCTATGACCGTCTGCGTCCTTCTTCTGTCGTCGACTTTCCTGCTTTTTTATCCCAGCAATCGAATTCCAACAACTCGAGTCGTTCCCTTATCTCCCCCCTCCCCCCCCCCCCCAATTCCCCCCAGCAACCGCCCTCTTCTGACGTCAGCCCCTCAAGGCAACACCAGCCGCAGTGCTGGTGAAGCGGGAGGCACACCGGGGGCCAGGAGGGGAGCAGCCGGGGGGGTTAACCAGGGGATGAGCGGCAGTGGGACGGTGAGAGGCAGTGGAGCAGTTAATACTGGTGGTGTGTTGACTGTTGGGGGTAGAGGGGGTGCGAGGGCTGAAGGGGCATCACCTGCTGCTGCTTCTGCTGCTTCCAGAGCAGCGGCCGCAGCAGCAGTCACTGAGCATGGTTGGGGTGCCTCAGCCAGCAGGAGTGGAAGCAACGTGGTGAGGAAGTTCAGAACTATGACACAGCTGCTTCATGCGCAGTGCCCGCAACAGGAGCAGCAGCAGTTGCAGCAGCAGCAGCAGCAGCAGCAGCAGCAGCAGCAGCAGCAGCCACAGCAGAAGCCATGTGTTGTGTGCCATTCAGAAGCCTCAGTTACTGCCGGAACAGCTGGAGGGAGACCAACAGCGTTGCTACTGAATGCACAGGCAACAGCTGCAGCAACACCAGCAGCAGCAGCAGCAGCAGCAGCAGCAGCAGCAGCAGCAGCAGCAGCAGCAGCAGCAGCAGCAGCAGCAGCAGCAGCAGCAGCAGCAGCAGCAGCAGCAGCAGCAGCAGCAGCAGCAGCAGCATCAGCAGCAGCAGCAGCAGCAGCAGCAGCATCAGCAGCAGCAGCATCAGCAGCAGCAGCAGCATCAGCAGCATCAGCAGCATCAGCAGCAGCAAATCATTTTCCCCAAGCTGGACCATCTGCAATGCACGTCATTCCTCCTCTGCAGATAGCACTCAGGAAGCCTGGTCCTTACGCTCAGGTATCACCTGCCCAGTTGGTGCCTAGCAATGCCATAGCAGGTGATGTGAGTGGGTGCAGTGAGGGAAGCGGGCAGGGACTCCCAAGCACGGTGGAGGGCCCGTGGGAGAAGATTGTGTTGATTCCACAGATGCGAATGCAGACGCCAGCGCAGATGTCGAATGTGATGTTGAATTTGATGCCGACACAGGCGCACGCACTAACACCAGAAGCACACACATTAACGACTCATTTGCAAGCACTGGCTCCACCGGCACTGGCACAGTTGCAGGCACACGCACAGGTGCAGGCACACGCACAGGCACAGGCACAGTCGAACACGGCAGCAGGAGCAGGTTCAGGGGCCGAGCGCGGGAATAACGCCCCCATGTTTTGCACCGAGGGAGTGTTTCAAAGAAGTGCGCACGCAAGCAGCCGACTCAGTGGCGAAATGGAAAGACATCCAAGGGAGCAGGAAGTCAGAGAGAACAACAGCGTCGTATCACCTGAGAAGGAGGGTGGCGATGCAGCAGGTGGAAGGACCAATGGCCGGAAATGGGCTGCAAAGGAGGGCAGTGGGGGAATGTGGCATACTAAGGAGTTGGATTCGCGCGAGTGGGTTATGTCCAGTGCGGTGCCTGTGGTGGAAGAACCAGGCAGCCCTGTTTCAGAGGCGCCTCAAGACATGCCTGAAAAGAGCACTAAGGACCAGGTGCCTCAGAAATTGCCTGTGTTTGAGGAGCAAGGCAGCCGAGAACGGTACAGAGTGGTAGGAGGAGGCAAGCGGGGTGCTGTGAGGGTTACGGGCAGGGGTGGAGGGGATGGGGAGAGAGGCAGGATGGTGGTTGTGGGGGACGGGATGAAGGGAAGCGAGGAGGGGGCACTTGATCATGGTCATGTGGGTCATGGTGGTGATGGTGGTGATGATGGTAAAGGTGGTGATGTTTGCAATGACGTGCATGATGGTGTGAATGACCCTGTGCAAGAAGCATCTTGCGGTGGGGATGAGGATGAGGATGAGGACAGGAGCAGGGCGGTGGTGCTGATACCAGAGGACGTGGCAGCGTGCATGCGTCCCCCGCCTCTCAAGGCTGCTCAGCGCCTGCGCACTGTGCACTGCGTGTGAGCTCCCTCATCCACCATCCGTTGTGATAAGTCGAGTTTTGAGTCTACTCAAAACTCGCCTGCGCACTGTGCACAGCGTGTGAGACCCCCCATCCACCATCCCTTGCCTTTCCCAGACTTCACTCGTGCCTCGTACGCTCCGCAGATAGCACGCTCTCAATCTCAGCCCAAGTACCGTATGCCAATGTTCTATCCTTTAGAGCGTCTTCTTCTTCAAAACGTTGTATTCTAACTGCAATATTCTATCCTTTCTTGCCCGCGCACCACGCACGATGCATCACGCATCAACCTTCGTCTTTCTTTCATGCATCGTGTTCATTCATGCACATGCACAACGCGCCATGCGCCATGCATTGTGCCATCGTGCACCACATGCTGCAGGTACGAGCTGCCAGACAACTCTCCTCTGCTGCAATCGGTGAGCATCTCGCCTTTTAGTATACTATGATCATGGTGCTCGCTTACACAGTATACCACCCAACCACCCTTCCACCCACCCACGCACCCACCCACGCACCCATCCACACACCCACGCTCTCCCGTTAAGTCATCCCTCCATCACCCCAATCCCCAAATGTGCTTCGTCACGCATTCGCCACGCTCTTCCGCCTCTATTTTAAGTCAAATGTGGGTGACTTTTCCCAAATGTGAGTCGACTCAAACGCCACGCTCTTCCGCCTCTATTTTAAGTCAAATGTGGGTGACTTTTCCCAAATGTGAGTCGACTCAAACGCCACGCTCTTCCGCCTCTATTTTAAGTCAAATGTGGGTGACTTTTCCCAAATGTGAGTCGACTCAAACGCCACGCTCTTCCGCCTCTATTTTAAGTCAAATGTGGGTGACTTTTCCCAAATGTGAGTCGACTCAAACGCCACGCTCTTCCGCCTCTACTTTAAGTCAAATGTGGTTGACTTTTCCCAAATGTGAGTCGACTCAAACGCCACGCTCTTCCGCCTCTATTTTAAGTCAAATGTGGGTGACTTTTCCCAAATGTGAGTCGACTCAAACGCCACGCTCTTCCGCCTCTATTTTAAGTCAAATGTGGGTGACTTTTCCCAAATGTGAGTCGACTCAAACGCCACGCTCTTCCGCCTCTATTTTAAGTCAAATGTGGGTGACTTTTCCCAAATGTGAGTCGACTCAAACGCCACGCTCTTCCGCCTCTATTTTAAGTCAAATGTGGGTGACTTTTCCCAAATGTGAGTCGACTCAAACGCCACGCTCTTCCGCCTCTATTTTAAGTCAAATGTGGGTGACTTTTCCCAAATGTGAGTCGACTCAAACGCCACGCTCTTCCGCCTCTATTTTAAGTCAAATGTGGGTGACTTTTCCCAAATGTGAGTCGACTCAAACGCCACGCTCTTCCGCCTCTATTTTAAGTCAAATGTGGGTGACTTTTCCCAAATGTGAGTCGACTCAAACGCCACGCTCTTCCGCCTCTATTTTAAGTTAAATGTGGGTGACTTTTCCCAAATGTGAGTCGACTCAAAACGCCACGCTCTTCCGCCTCTATTTTAAGTCAAATGTGGGTGACTTTTCCCAAATGTGAGTCGACTCAAACGCCACGCTCTTCCGCCTCTATTTTAAGTCAAATGTGGGTGACTTTTCCCAAATGTGAGTCGACTCAAACGCCACGCTCTTCCGCCTCTATTTTAAGTCAAATGTGGGTGACTTTTCCCAAATGTGAGTCGACTCAAACGCCACGCTCTTCCGCCTCTATTTTTAAGTCAAATGTGGGTGACTTTTCCCAAATGTGAGTCGACTCAAACGCCACGCTCTTCCGCCTCTATTTTAAGTCAAATGTGGGTGACTTTTCCCACATGTGAGTCGACTCAAACGCCACGCTCTTCCGCCTCTATTTTAAGTCAAATGTGGGTGACTTTTCCCAAATGTGAGTCGACTCAAACGCCACGCTCTTCCGCCTCTATTTTAAGTCAAATGTGGGTGACTTTTCCCAAATGTGAGTCGACTCAAACGCCACGCTCTTCCGCCTCTATTCTAAGTCAAATGTGGGTGACTTTTCCCAAATGTGAGTCGACTCAAACGCCACGCTCTTCCGCCTCTATTTTAAGTCAAATGTGGGTGACTTTTCCCAAATGTGAGTCGACTCAAACGCCACGCTCTTCCGCCTCTATTTTAAGTCAAATGTGGGTGACTTTTCCCAAATGTGAGTCGACTCAAACGCCACGCTCTTCCGCCTCTATTCTAAGTCAAATGTGGGTGACTTTTCCCAAATGTGAGTCGACTCAAACGCCACGCTCTTCCGCCTCTATTTTAAGTCAAATGTGGGTGACTTTTCCCAAATGTGAGTCGACTCAAACGCCACGCTCTTCCGCCTCTATTTTAAGTCAAATGTGGGTGACTTTTCCCAAATGTGAGTCGACTCAAACGCCACGCTCTTCCGCCTCTATTTTAAGTCAAATGTGGGTGACTTTTCCCAAATGTGAGTCGACTCAAACGCCACGCTCTTCCGCCTCTATTTTAAGTCAAATGTGGGTGACTTTTCCCAAATGTGAGTCGACTCAAACGCCACGCTCTTCCGCCTCTATTCTAAGTCAAATGTGGGTGACTTTTCCCAAATGTGAGTCGACTCAAACGCCACGCTCTTCCGCCTCTATTTTAAGTCAAATGTGGGTGACTTTTCCCAAATGTGAGTCGACTCAAACGCCACGCTCTTCCGCCTCTATTTTAAGTCAAATGTGGGTGACTTTTCCCAAATGTGAGTCGACTCAAACGCCACGCTCTTCCGCCTCTACTTTAAGTCAAATGTGGTTGACTTTTCCCAAATGTGACTCGACTCAAACGCCACGCTCTTCCGCCTCTATTTTAAGTCAAATGTGGGTGACTTTTCCCAAATGTGAGTCGACTCAAACGCCACGCTCTTCCGCCTCTACTTTAAGTCAAATGTGGTTGACTTTTCCCAAATGTGAGTCGACTCAAACGCCACGCTCTTCCGCCTCTATTTTAAGTCAAATGTGGGTGACTTTTCCCAAATGTGAGTCGACTCAAACGCCACGCTCTTCCGCCTCTATTTTAAGTCAAATGTGGGTGACTTTTCCCAAATGTGAGTCGACTCAAACGCCACGCTCTTCCGCCTCTATTTTAAGTCAAATGTGGGTGACTTTTCCCAAATGTGAGTCGACTCAAACGCCACGCTCTTCCGCCTCTATTCTAAGTCAAATGTGGGTGACTTTTCCCAAATGTGAGTCGACTCAAACGCCACGCTCTTCCGCCTCTATTTTAAGTCAAATGTGGGTGACTTTTCCCAAATGTGAGTCGACTCAAACGCCACGCTCTTCCGCCTCTATTTTAAGTCAAATGTGGGTGACTTTTCCCAAATGTGAGTCGACTCAAACGCCACGCTCTTCCGCCTCTACTTTAAGTCAAATGTGGTTGACTTTTCCCAAATGTGAGTCGACTCAAACGCCACGCTCTTCCGCCTCTATTTTAAGTCAAATGTGGGTGACTTTTCCCAAATGTGAGTCGACTCAAACGCCACGCTCTTCCGCCTCTATTTTAAGTCAAATGTGGGTGACTTTTCCCAAATGTGAGTCGACTCAAACGCCACGCTCTTCCGCCTCTATTTTAAGTCAAATGTGGGTGACTTTTCCCAAATGTGAGTCGACTCAAACGCCACGCTCTTCCGCCTCTATTTTAAGTCAAATGTGGGTGACTTTTCCCAAATGTGAGTCGACTCAAACGCCACGCTCTTCCGCCTCTATTTTAAGTCAAATGTGGGTGACTTTTCCCAAATGTGAGTCGACTCAAACGCCACGCTCTTCCGCCTCTATTTTAAGTCAAATGTGGGTGACTTTTCCCAAATGTGAGTCGACTCAAACGCCACGCTCTTCCGCCTCTATTTTCCTTCCCCCACCCACCTTCCACTCCAACTCATGACATCACGTGGTACTTCCTGTCACTGCTCTCTCTGCTTGCTCTCTGCCCCTCCTCTCACTCACGTCCTTCCCCCAATTCTCCCCCCCCCCCTTTCCCCTTCCATCATTCCATCTTCCATCTCCACACCCCTCTACCTTATCCCTCTCCCCTCTCCCTTCTTCCCTCTCCCATCTTGCATCTCGCCTTTCCGACTTCTCCCCACTCCCCCCGTGCACCACGCCCCACCCCACGCTGTGTGACAGTTGGAGCCGCGTCACCCAGAAGACCGCTGCCCATACCTGCTTGTTCTCTGGGGGCCAGGTAACTATGCTGCTGAGACGAAGGCATGGTTGCTCTTTGCTCCCTCCTTGGGAACCAAGGAAGGTATACTCTCCACGTTGAGACACTCATGGCGCAATTCCACTTCCTCCTTCGAGGACGATATACTCACGTTGTGAATGTTTCGAGGCCCGTAGCTCCTCCTTGCTTCTTTTATTTTCTTTTCTTCTTCCCCTTTTTTGGTATCAGAAACTTTCTTGGTCCCAATTCACTTGTGCTGTGCTGCTTGCTAACACCTACTCATTCCTCTCCCTTCCTCCCTGCCTCCCTGCCTCCCTGCCTACCCATCTCTTCCCAGGTGAGACCCTGCCTGCCACACCCACGCTTCCAGAGATGGCCCGGCAGATGGCAAAGGAGCAGCAGCAGCAGCAGCAGCAGCAGCAGCAGCAGCAGCAGCAGCAGCAGCAGCAGCAGCAGCGGCACGGGGGGATGCACGCAGCAGGACCGCAGCAGGGAGAAGAGAAGAAGAAGCAGCAGCGTCAGCGGCCAACAACGCGAGAGAGCAGCGATACAGCAGCCGAGGGGCATGGAGGGGTGACAGGGAATGCAGGGAAAGGGCAAAGCGCTGAAGTGGAACGAAGAAGGGATGGGGAAGCCAGGCCTGGCCGAACAGACCTCCCACAGGTCGTGATTCAAGAGGTGACTGAGACAGATGTGCTAGTAGGGGAAGCAGCAGCAGCAGAAGCAGCAGAAGTAGCCAAGGGGGGAGGATGGGGGGGATGTTCTGGGAAGGGTACAGTGGAGGAGTGTGTGGAGGGAGGGGGGCGTGGGGATGTGGTGCTGGTGGAAGAAGTAGAAGATGAGGATGCAGGGGGGATCCTGGGAGGAAGTGGGAGGGAGGGAGGCGATGACGAGAGTGATGGTGCAGCAGCGTGGAAGGGCGTGGGCGGTGGGAGGACTCTTGGGCAAAGCTGTAGGAGTGGTGCTGCTAGTGGCGGCGCTGGTGCTGCTGCTTGTGCTGCTGCTTGTGCTGGTGGTGCTAGCGGCGGTGGTGATAGGTGTGTGGTGACTGAGGGTGGTGATGTGGATGGACGCGTGGATGGAGGCATGGAAGGCGATACACCAATGCTGTTGGAGCATGAGGAGACAGTGCCAGGGACACTGCTGGTGGGTTTGCCCTGCCTTGTCTGCCTGCCTTCCACTCTGCCTGTGTCTTTACTCTTGCACAGATTTCTTCTGCCTCTTCCTTTCTCCATCTCTCTTGTGTCGTCTTCATTCCTCCTCCACTCCACTCTCAAGCCCATGTTTCATTCACCCCTCTCCCTCCTCTCTCGCTTCTTACCCGCCCCCTCTTCTCCCGCAACCTGCCTGCTTGCCTGCCCGCCCGACCCCATCCCGCCCGTCCGCCCACCCGCCCATCGGCCCGGCTGCCTGTCTACCTGCATGCCTGCATGCCTGCCGGCCTGTCATCAGATCCCATGCCGCACTGCAATGCGAGGAAGCTTCCCCTTGAACGGCACGTACTTCCAGAACAACGAGGTGAGTGAGGGATAACCTGCCCGTCATCATCAAAGAGCAAGTTTCTGAATCCCCAAAAATAAAATCCTGCAGAATAAAAGAGCAAGAGACTTTGCCTTTGCAAGCGTTCCGTCCTGCACTGCCTGCCTGCCGGTCCACCCACTCCACCTCCTCTCCATCCTCTCGCCCTTCTCAGACGTGCCATTCTCACAGTGTATTTTGGATCGACTCAGAATGTCCTCCCTGGACCTCCTCTCCCCTCCCTCCTCCTCCTCCTCCTTCACTTCACCAATCTCCCCTGTTGCTCCTCCTCCTCCAACACTACAGGTGTTTGCAGACGCTGCCACCAGCAAGCAGCCTCTTGTTTTGAGTCGACTCAAAACTAGGCTCCTCCTTCACTGCACCACTCGCCCCTTTTGCTCCTCCTCCTTCACTGCACCACTCGCCCCTGTTGCTCCTCCTCCTTCACTGCACCACTCGCCCCTTTTGCTTCTCCTCCAACACTACAGGTGTTTGCAGACGCCGCCACCAGCAAGCAGCCTCTTGCTGTCCCGCGCTCCCTCCTCTGGCACCTCCCTCGCCGCTTCGTGCTCTGTGGCACCTCCATCCCCTCCATCTTTAAAGGTACCTTCCCATTCCCATCTCACCACCATGCACCACTTATTGAGGTTTACCACTACCACCTTGAGGTTTATTTTTAACTGATTTCCCTTACGCCACTCCTGATTCACCACCTTGAGGGCTCACCAACTCCTGTTGTGTGACACCTGATTCACCTCACTCACCTGATTCACCTGCCCCACCTGCCCCACCTGCCCCACCTGCCCCACCTGCCCCACCTGCCCCACCTGCCCCACCTGCTTCACCTGCCGCACTTGCTTCACCTGTCCCACCCGCTTCACCGTCTCAAAACCTTGTGGCACCTCCTGTGCTTCCTCTCCGTGCTGCCCTCTCAGGCCTCACAACTCTGCAGGTCCAGTCGGTCTTCTGGCGAGGTACGTCCACACAGCACAGCACTGCACAGCACCGCACAGCCCAGCACAGCACAGCACAGCACAGCACAGCACAGCACCGCACAGCACAGCACAGCACAGCACAGCACCGCACAGCACAACACAGCACAGCACAGCACAGCACAGCACCGCACAGCACCGCACAGCACAGCACAGCACAGCACAGCACAGCACCACACAGCACCGCACAGCACAGCACAGCACAGCACAGCACCGCACAGCACAGCACCGCACAGCACAGCACCGCACAGCACCGCACGACACTGCACAGCACAGCACAGCACAGGTATTTGATTCACAGCAGGGTAAATGTGAGTGTAGCACTTTTACCACTCGTTTTCGCAATGCATTGCTCCAACAATACTTCCCAGGCCACCCAATAGGACAGAAATGTTTTTTACGAGCATGCATCACGTTCAAGATTCCTCAACATAGCGGACAAAATTGTCTTTACGAGCATGCAGCATCACGTCACTCCTCTTGCTGTCTCAGACAGCACCGTGTCCCTTACGAACAATAGGTCCTCCGTCCCGTCCAAAACCTCACCACCAAGCCCTCTCTTCCGTCCTCTCTCCTTCCGTCCTCTCTCCTCTCTCCTCTCTCCTCCCTCCTCTCTCCTGTCTCCTCTCTCCTGTCTCCTCTCCCCTTGTCTCTCCCTCCTCCCATCCCATGCACTGCACCGCAACAGGTTATGTGTGCATAAGAGCCTTTGACCGCATCACCCGTGCTCCCGGGCCCCTTGTACCGCACCTGCACAGCAGCCCCTCCTCCAAGCCCAAGCCCAAACCCAGCAGCAGCAATGGCAATGGCAAGGGCGTTCAGGGGCAACCAAGCAATGCTACCGTATAACCCCGGATATAAGCCCCCCCGTTTTTTTGGCCCCGGGGATAAGAAGAGAGCAATGCCGATTACATGGCCCGTCCTCTTTTTGGGGAAATTTCTATATAGGAACATGTCATTTTCCTGTTTGTTTTTTCCCGAAAACAGGTAAAAGTAGTGTTTAGGATAAGCCCCGGGGCAATAAGAAAAGAGCTGATTACAAGCCCCTAGCAAAGAAAGGGCCAAAAAACTATAAGCCCCTAGGGGCGTATATCCAGGGTAATACGGTAATAAGACCGCCCCGCGCACCCAACCGTAGCAGGACCCTCTGGTGCGGTGACACAAACGTTCAGAGTGTGTGTGAATGTGCTGTGAATTGTTGGTTTTAGGTGTTGCTGGTGTGAATCTGACGTGATTTGCTGACTTGGGTTTGTGTACCGCTTCCTCAATGCACGTGTGTCTACCCACAGAACGCAACACCTCACTCATTTCATGCCACCAACAAAATCCTTCCATCAGCTGCGGTGCCCTAAATTGAAGGAATATAACATGCATTTTATTTGACCAGTACTGTTTTCTATGGTGCTGGAGCTGGGCAATGGAATAAATGACAGGCAGGCACAGCCCACCAGAGAAAATGGGTCCATTCCAAGCCAAGCAGCAGTCGCTTTGCAGCATCTCCAAGCCAGGTCTTGGTCACTGTGCCAGCGAGAGTAAAGGGAGCAGACGCCAACAAGAGGTAACATCGTAACACAACACGCTTTGCTATCCAGCTCTGCTCTGCAACAAGGCTCTCACACTGCAGAAACGGCAACAGAGACGATTGGCGATCGTCGATTCGCGATCGGCTATCAAACCACGGGATGGGACGGGCACAGGGAGCAGTGATGCGCAGAGAGTGCAGCCACACACACCCATCCCCACGCCACTTCGTCATCATCAGACCCGCTTCCACTGCTGCTGCTGCTGCTGCTGCTGCTACTTTTGAGATGTCTCAAAACACGCCTCTCCCTTATCAACAGATATCATCTTCGGAACTAGCGGACTCCTCATTGCCCACTTCGTCATCATCATCGTCATCATCGGACCCACTCCCACTACTGCTGCTGCTGCCGCTGCTGCTACCACTCCCGCTGCTACTGCTACTCCCACTCCCACTGCCACTCGCAGAACTACTACTCCCATCAGACCCTTGCTGCTTCGCCGGTGTACCAGTCTCAGTTACAGTCCCAGTCCCAGACGCAGTTGCATCCCCTGCTGCTTGCTCCTCTTCCTCCTCCACCTCAATCTCCTCATATTCCACCTCCTCCTCCTCCTCCTCCCCACCAACCCCCAGCTCAATCTGCTCAACACCCGCTGCTTTGTTTGCGTAATAAGTTGAGGAACCCGCCCCTGAAGAATCCCGAGTTGTTAACCCAGAAGCAGAGGAACCAGTAGCTGAGTTCGCCCGTCCTGCTCCATCACCCATCCCTCCTCCTCCTACTCCTCCTCCTCCTCCACCACCACCAGCAGCACCTCTGCCCATCCCTCCACCGTAATCTCTCGACTTGCTACCATGGGCTGCAGCGCCTGATGCACCCACCCCCTCGCCCGCACCTCTGCCTCTACCACCTGCGCCTGCTCCCCCACCTGCAGCCGCCTTGCTCTCCCGAGCAGCAGCTGCAGCAGCAGCAGCAGCGGCCACCGCGGAAGACAAGGAGCCTGGCATGGCACCCGCCTCGTTCCCTGCCGCCGTGTCCGCTGCTGCTGCTGATGCAGCGTTGCCCTTTTTGCGCTTGGCTGCTGCTGCTGTTGTTCCGTCGCGCTCTGCATGAGACACGGCAAGGCAGTTGGGACAGGAGGGAGTGGCGTTGGAGACATCTCAGGACAGGGCAGACTGGGGCCGGATTTTATTGAGAGCTGAAAGAAGCCATACACACAGGAAAGGAAAAACGCAGAAATGCCAAGAGATACCGCTGACTGACACTACAGTAGGCGCCACTGGAAGCATAAGACAAAAGAGAGTGTCACCTCGTGGCTTCTTCCCTGCTTGCCCTGCGCCACCAGTCTCTCCCCCACCATCCCCGTCCCTGCTCCCATGCCCACCTCCCGCGCCGCCAAACCCCTTCCCCTCGTCCAAATTCAAATTCCACCCTCCTCCGCCTCCCCCTCCTCCTCCGCTTCCGAAACCCGCGCCCGCCGCGCCTCCCTTATCTCCCCCTCCCGCTCCCCCTGCTCCACCACCCGCCACTCCCCCCGCTCCCCCCGCGTCCGCCCCCGCTGTGCCCGCCGTCCCCGCGGGCTTCTCCTTGGCGAGGCGGATGTGGCGCAGGTTGCGCACGGCGTAGTGCAGGCGCTCCAAGCGGAAGGAGCGCCCGTCGAAAAGGACAAGCCCCTCCTGGTCGCGACACGGGTCCACGTGGCCCTCGAATTCCAGTGGCGGCTTCCCTGGCTGGTTGTTCGGAAGCTCCACCCCCACCTTGCTCTCCCCGCGGCTCTCCCCGCCCCGCCGCAGCGTGCCTGGGCGCGCGGAATCGATCGACGCGGGCTTGAACTCGTCTGCACGGAAGGGGAAAGGGGAATGGGGGGGAAGGGGGAACGTGAGGGGGCCGAGGGAAACGGAAGGGCCTCGCTTTCCTGTTTACCCCTACCACCGTCTTCGGACAACGAATTCCACCCACTAGGTACACAGTTCAGAGAGCATCCCCGTTATAGGCGCACGCGCAAACGCACATCGGAGCGTGTAGTACTGGACGGGCGCGTTGGGGCGGAAGGAGTCCCCCAGAACGAGCGGGTACCACGTCTCCTCTGTCGGAGCTGACTCCGCGCCCGGCACGCTCGGCCGAGCCATCGTGGAGCTGAGCTGCGACGCGAGATATGAGGGGGGCTATACGTGACTAAGCGACGGTTTATGTGAGCATGATTAACTTGAACGCGAGAGTGCGGCAGGGACTCGTGGCAACGCTGTTGTGTCGAGGAGGAGACGCGTGGATGCGCGAAGAACTGGGCAAGGGTGATCAGGGTCGTGGGAAAGTGCTTGTGATGGGTAAAATCAAGGTTGCAGTGGCTGGCTCTGCCTGACATGGTAGAATGGCTTCATAAACAAACCAATCCATTCTCGACTATGTTTGATAAACGGGCACACGGTACCCTGTTTTTAGCCAAAGGCACACTTAGCTAGTGCGATGAAATACTGAGGAGCGGTTTTATTTTCCTGTTGACATAGCTCTTCAATGTTTATGTTCATGCTTTGGTACATTGGAATGGTTCTGGTTACTAGTTTCGTGAATCCAGTAAACTCTTAGCGTGTATGCTAGATATGTGGCAAGGTGAGCACTGCTAGATTTTACTTACACGGAACCGCCCACAGCGCGTACGCCCAAGTTCCGAGCATTCCCCAGCCTGCACCCACCGCACGGTCTGTGACCCAACCGAATTCTTTCGAGGGTAACCACCTACCACGTGATAGGCTGGAGGGTACTCCCGAACCACAAACCGCCGCACCTGCCCTCACGAAAACTTGTGGTGTACCCTACCCAACCGACTTGTTTCCTTCATGACCGCCAAGGCTGGGCTGGCTCGTTCACTCTTGCTTTCCTCACACCACCTTGGAGTTCCCCAGGGAGCGCCGCGTACACTCGTCCTTTCCCACCCAACTACCGCCCCATACACCACTCCGCTTTTCCCCTTAGGATATTTCCATGCATTCCACCTCCATCTCTCACACCGCATTCGAACGCAACAAAATGTTTGAAAACGTGCGTCACCCTACCTCGCCTATTTGTTCCGCTGCGTTTGTTCATGACCTTTCCAGAAGCCATACCATGGGGTTCCCAGAAGGCACATTCATGGATGAGAGCAGCATGGAACGATGGTTGGTCGTTTTGTAATCTTGTAAAACGCGTGCCTTGTGTTCCACGCGTTTCGCTAATTGCCAATTGCGTACGGGCTTTGAGCTGGCAGGCAACGCGGGCGCTTCCGACTTTGCTTTGTCCATAACGCGTCATCCCCGTCCTTATCCATTGTTATCCATGTCTATCGGCTAGCCGTCAGATTGCTGTTGGCGGAACTCTTCACAGCGTCGTTACTGCGGCGTCCGTTCTCGAGACTACCTTGCTAATTACCACTTAAACCGTAGTTTCGCATCCTCCCGACACACCTGTCCCCTCATCGCCACGTCGTCTCGCCATCCCTCCCGCGTTGACTCGCCGTTCGAGGCGCCTCGAAACGTGTCGTCGGTCCCGGCTGCCTCCTTCCTCTTCCTTTTCCTCTTCCTCGTCCTCTTCCTCTTCGTTTCGTCGTCGTCATCGCAGCGCAGCGTGCAGCAGACAGGGGTCGCCTTTGAAAATTCTCGAGTGCCACGTCGCCATGATGTCCTCGTCGCAGCTGCGACTCATGTCTGACCTCAAGGCCATCCGACAGGAACCTCCCGAGGTACCGAAAAGTCCCCTCTTTTTGTCCCTTTTAGTTGTTCAACAACTTTTCGCCTCGGTTCCCTCGCCTGGATGTTCTCCCGTGGGCCGTTCTTGGCACGCCCTTCACATTCTAGGTTCGCGATGTCGTGTGCGTTGCCTGACGGACCCTCGTGTCGGCGTGTGTCTGCCGCATGCTGCATGCTGCATGATGCGTGGTGCGTGATGCGTGGTGCATGGAGCTTGGTGCATGGTGCGTGGTGTATGTGGTGGTCGGTCGGTGCGTTATGTTGAGCAGGGATGCAGTGCGAGTCCGCAAAGCGATGAGAACCTCTTCGTGTGGAGCGCCACCATCTTTGGCCCGGATGAGTCACCCTGGGAAGGTAACTTTTACCCCACCGCACGCTCGCACGAGACGCAAGGGATTCAAGAGATGCAGGTAGCAGGCTTCGTGCAGGCAAGGCACCTGATTTATAATGTAAAAAAGGTGGAGTACGATGCGTTTTGTTACTCTGAGCCATGCAGGCAATGCAGAAACTGCTTCCGTGGATTAAGGCTTAAGGGAGCGTGAGGGGTAGGGCTGAAGCGGGATCATCAAGAGCAATAAGCATGCGCGACAGGCAAATAGGAGCGGTTGGAGTGGCAACTAAGAGAAAATTAAAGATTTAAATGTTCATTTGTTTTACTTTCGTCGAGGCCAGCCAAATTCAAGTTGTGAAGACTATCGGTTGCCAGGGTTTTCCAGCTTGTCTTAATCCTCGGGTCTCGCTCTATACCTCAGGTTGCCATGGTGTGGTTCCGCTTCCCCCCGTTTCCCGCCCCCCCTTCCTCCCCTGCTCCCCCCGCTATTTCCCCTTCCCTTCCTCCGCCTCTCCCCTCCTCTCTCCCCTCCCAAACTTCCGCCTTCCCGACTTCCAATCCTCCTTTTTCCCTCTCGCAGGTGGCATTTTCTCTCTGCGCCTGATATTCAGTGAGCAATACCCGGAGAAGCCGCCGCGTGTGCGCTTCACATCCGAGGTCTTCCACCCCAACGGTCAGTCCCGGCCCTCTCCCTCTCCTCCTCTCCATCTCCCTTTAGCCCCTTTGCATCTCCCCCGTTTTGCCGATACAGTTCCCCAACGTTACCTGCTGCTGCTGTTCTGTTCTGTTCTTCTGCTGCTGCTGTTCTGCCACCAGCCGCCTCTCCTCGACAACGCTCATTTCCGCGTGCGCATCTTACCTTGCTCTCTGCTTGAGCGTTGGCCGTGCCTGGTCTCGTTGTTCTCGTCTACTTGTGTGTGTGTGTGTGTGTTTGTGTGTGTGTCTTCCATATGTTGGTGCATTGCGCGAGACTGATGTGTCTGCTCCCTGCTCCGTCTGTAACTCCATGCATGATGCGCCCATGCAGTGTACAACGACGGCACGTTGTGCATGGACATCATCCAGGACGCGTGGTCGCCGTGCCACAACATCTGCACCATTCTCACCTCCATTCAGGTAGCGCACGCATGCAATGGGGAGGGGTGGTACGCATACAACAGGGAGGGGGGGGGGGGGGGGGGGGGGTGGGGTTCCAGGAAGTGTGAATTTGAAATGTGATGATGAGAGTGTACGGACGGGAGGGGGAGCGTCAGCGTTTGGAAAGGATTATGTGCGTGGGAAGGGGTATAGTGCCTGGAAATTCCTGTTTGTGCTTTTGCTGCACTTTGTTTTTGAATCATATGTCCTAGGTATCCTAATTCCCCTTCCCTGGATCCCATTCCCTTTCCCCATGACCCATTCCCTTCCCCTTCCCCTTCCCCTTCCCCTTCCCCTTCCCTTCCCTTCCCCTCCCCTTCCCCTTCCCCTTCCCCTTCAACTTCTCGTCTTGCATCTAGTCATTCTCAATACGAGCCTCCTTCCTGCATGGTTTGATTCTGCTTGCATTCTAAGCTACTATGCAGCAGTTCTGTTGCTTCCTGCTGTGCTTGATCCCTTATTTTTGTGTGCTTCTTTCTTACCACATGTTCCCATTCTCCCTTCTCTTTTTGTCACTACGCTCTCTACAGTCACTTCTGACTGACCCCAACCCATCCAGTCCAGCCAATCCCGAAGCAGCACAACTGCTATCCTCCGACCTTGCTGCTTACAACAGGTGCCATTCTCACACAGGTTTCAGACTTTGTACCCCTGCATTCTCCCCTTTCGTCCCTTCTTGCTGCACTTCACTTCACTCTTCCCGTCCCTCCCCCCCCCCCCTCCCCTCCCCCCCCCCCCCCCCCCCCCCCCCCCCCCCCCATTCCTTCGCCTTTTCTTCCCCCTCACTGCCCCTTGATTGCGTTTACTTCTTCCTCCTCTCTCCTCTCCCATTCCTTGCTGCCACCCTAAATTTTCTATCACAACGTTGAAGTAAAACTGTTCTCTCTGCGTCCCACCCCGTGTGACTGTTTCAACAGGAGAGTGCGTCAATGCGTGCGGAAATCGCTAGACAACATCCAATGATTGTTCACTTGCCACTGGGACTGTGCTTCCTCCGCCTCCTCCTCATCCACACATTGTTCATATGCCACTCCATGTGCTCCTCTCTCTCCCCCTCCCCCTCCTTTTCCCCTCTCCTTCTCCCACTCCCTCTCCCTCTCCCTCTCCCTCCCACTTTTTCTGAGTCACTCTCGCACTACAGTATCCCTCTCCCTAAACCCTTCTGTCCCCTCTCTCGCTCTCTCGCTCTCCTCCTATTCGCTCTACGCATCTGTTGCCCACACCGCACGCACGAGCTGCTGTGAAAAACACCTTGTGCGCGGATGAACCTATGAACAGGACAGGCGCAGCACCGCGCAGGTCGTTGTGGATACTTGTGAAATTCAGCCGGATATGCAAACCTGTACTGTTGCAGCAGTAGTTCTGTTGTAGGACTAGAGCACCATCTTTGGAGGAGGTTGTTGGATTTCAGTGCATCATGGTTGATTTTTCCTGGTGGTTGAATCAAACCAGCCACTGTCTGGCCTCTCCATGTTTTTTATCAGGAGTTTTGGCAATCAGGGTTAAAATCCAAAATGGTGGAGGAAAGTACTCATTGATGTGAGAAGGTGTACATTAACTGAAACCTCCAATCTCATCCCGGACAGGCACATGCACCAAAATGGAATACATATTCTGTACTACAGTATAAATTAAATAATGCACACCTGCTTGCAATGATTAACCAACAAACCAATCCATCATACGATTCTTATGAAGGTTTGTACCAAAACGAGCACAAACTTCACAAGCAGATGCTGGCAATGTCAGCATCGTTGAGCTCGCCCCAGAGCTCCACCACACTCTCCATGCAGTCATCTAACTCCCCCAATCCATCCATCCCCACCACCCCATCCTCCTCACCATTCACACCATTCACACCATCCACACCATCCACACCATCCTCACTATCTACCACACCATCCGCCATTTCGGACTGAGGACACACCACACCATCCACCCCTTGCACAGCCACCTCCCTTTGCTTCTCCCTCCTACCGTTCCACACTCCCTTCTGTTCACTCGCACAAACAACATCCTCCCCTTCTCCCATGCCTGGCACGGCCATCCCCACGATTTCCCCCAGCATCCACCCCTCATTACAGAACCACTCAGCAGCCCTACTGAGGCTCTCTAAGAAACCCCTCTCAGGCCCACAAGCAGATAGACCCTTGCGGTCATAGCGGTAATACTCCCTCTCTCGCTCAACCTCTCCCTCTTCCTCTCGCCCACCCTCTTGCTCACCCTCTCGGTGCTGCACACACACTCCTCCGTCCTTGATTGCCGCCTTACCCTTGCTGTCATCCCCGGCTGCTGCTGCAGTGATAGGCTCGCTTCCTCCTCTCCCGCAGCTTTCCTGGCTGAGAACTCCACCAGAGCAGCCCTCCCCAGCCTTTCCGCAGCCACTCCCCAGTTCCTCCTCCTCACGTCTTGCCGCCGTTTCGCAGGTACCACCTGCCTCACCGACGGTCACTGCGCACCTGGTCGGTTCACAGTGCTCCTTTTTCTCACAGTCCGCGCCTCGCTCACACAACCCAACTTCGGCCCCGCCCTGCCATGCCTGCAACCCAAAAAGCCCCACATCCAGCTGCTGATCCAACTCAGAAACACCCTCCCCTGCAAGCTTCCAATTTACAGAGACAGGTGCCCCACCTGCTTGTTTCAAGTTAGCTCCACTTGTTGCATGCGCCGCAAGAGTTGCCGCTGCGTGTGTCGCCACACACCCTCTCGCGCTCCCCAAGCCCACCCCTTCACCACCTGCACCTGCTATCCCAGCGCTGCTGCTGCTGCTGCTGCTGCCCTTCCCGCTACCACTGGCACCACTGCACTTGTCACCAAACCCAAGCCCCGGCTGCTCCTGCTGCTGCTGATGCTGCTGCTGTGGCGGCTGCTGCTGCTGTTGCTTCTGCTGCTGCTGCTGCTGTGGCAACTGCTGCAGCTGCTGCGTCCCATCCACTTGCTGTTCCTTTATCAACGGCTTCCCCCGCTGCTGCCTCCTTGGCCGTTGCTGCAGCACGGCTTTGCTGCTGCGGCCTACAGGTGCTGCTGCTGCTGCCACACCCCATCTCACAGGCAGAGCAGGGAGCGGAGCAGAGGCAATAAGGCGCACACCCGGAGAGATAGGGTGCAGGCCTGGGGCCATGGGTTTGAGTGCAGGGATGGTGTAGGCACGGGCAGAGGGCAGTGGCAGCGTGGCGGCTGCAGTGCGAAGGGGCATTGGGAGGAACGCCGTGAAAGGGACAGCTTTCGCTGGCGCTTGGTTGCTGCTGCTGAGCGCTGCGTGTGTGTGGGCTAGAGCAGGGGATGCTGGAGCATGGGGAGGAGGAATGGGGGATGGGTTGTGGTCAGGCATGTGGGCCGGAATGGGAGTCTGCTGCGTGATACTCTGTGCCCTGTGTGCAGCAGAGGTGCTAGTTTGGATTGAAGAGAGATGAGTTACAGGGAGTGGGGTCACAGTAGGGGTGGCAGAGATGGGAGGACTAGGGCTGTGAGGGATGGTGGGGATGGGAGGACTAGGAGGTACGACAGGGATGACAGGGGTTGTAAGGAAGGGGACGGGAACGCTGGGGGCGATGAGTGGGGCGTGAGTAGGAAGTTGACTGATACTGGTCAGGACTGTGGGTGGGGAACACATGGTGCTGATCACGCCTTGTGTTGCTGGTTGAAGAGAGAAGGAGCTCTGCAGCGGTTTCTTCTGCAGCTGCTGTTGCTGCTGTTGCTGTGTCTGTTGCTGTTGTTGCCCCCATTGCTGCTGCTGCTGTTGCTGTGTCTGTTGCTGTTGTTGCCCCCATTGCTGCTGCTGTTGCTGCTGCTGCTGCCTCTGCTGCCGCTGCTCTTGCTCTTGCTGTTGCTGTTGCTGTTGCTGCTGTATCTGCAGTTGCTGCTGCTTCTTTTCTTGTGCCCGTAGCTGCTCTTTCTGTAGCTGCTGCTCCTGCAGTTGCAGCTGTATCTGATGCTGTTGCAGCAGCAGCCACTGCTGAAGCGGCATCTCCTGGGTCTGAACCTTCTCCTTTTGAGAAACACAGTCTCGTGCCCCTGTTATTGCTGCTGACCCTGCTATTGCTGCCGAACCTGCTGCTTTTGGCGAAGAGCCTCCTGCAGGTGCTGGAAAGCCAGCGTTAAGTTTCTGGATTTGTTGCGTGTGGCTGGATGCTACGGATCCGTACGTCTCGCCATCCAATGCTGTTTTAGTGTGGGCGTGCTGTGCCATGTGTGGGTTCATGCGAGCGTGCATGCCCGTATGGATGTCCGGATGCATGGGCTGTGGCATGTCCGGGTGCATGTGCGTATGCGTGTGCGGATGCATGGGCTGTTGTGTGTGCGCATGCGTGAGTGCGAGCGTCAATGCACACTGCTGCTGAGCCGCATCCACACCAGAGCCTTGCAGGTGCAAGTGCCGCGCGCTAGAGGAGCTTGAGCCTGGGTTCCCCCCCGCAGCAGCAGCAGCAGCAGCAGCAGCAGCAGCAGCAGCAGCAGCAGCAGCAGCAGCAGCAGCAGCACCACTACAGCAACTAGGGACGCTACATGCAGCCAAAGCACAAACAGGGCTGGAGGCCGTGAGAGGAGGAGGAACGATTACGGGTTGGAAAGCAGCAGCGCTAGCAGCAGCAGCCACACCAGCATCAGCGGCAGCACCAGCGGCAGCAGCCACACCAGCACCAGCGGCAGCACCAGCGGCAGCACCCGCAGCGGCAGCAGGAGCAGCAGCAGCAGCAGCAGCAGCAGCAGAACTGGTACTAGCGTCAGCAGCAACGAGCAGAGCGGTGGGCAGAGCAGCAAGGGAGGCAGGCAGTGGAGCCGACGCGGAGCGGGGGAAGCAGGAGGAGGAAGTGGTGTTCTGACCCTGGTGCCCATCCGCACTGCCACCGCCCTCAGCCCTGCAGCCGTCCACTCCCAAACGGGCGCCCTCTACGCCCATAATGGAGAGGATGGTAGCTGCTCTCAACCCTGCAGGAGGCATTCCCGGACTCCCTGGTACTTGGCCCTTGTGCGGACTGGCTATGCTGCATGCTGCTGCTGCTGCTGCTGCTGGTGCGGCTGCTGCTGCTGCGGTTACGGCGCCTCCTGCTGCTGCTGGTGTTGGTATTAGCGGGGAGGGTTGTGCAGGGGACGGTGGCGGGGCGCGGGGATACGCTGGTAGCGCGGGGGAAAGAGGGGAGGAGAAGGCGGAAGGGGGAGCGGAGAGTTTCGCCTGGAAGGCTCGGCTGTGGAGAGGTGATAGGCCGTGGTGGGGCGCTGGGGGTGGTGTGTCCGAGCAGGAGGGTGTGAGCGGGGGAGAGGCGAGAATGTGGGGAGAGGAGGAGAGGACGCGAGGAGAAGAGAGAACGTGGGGGGAGGAGGAGGTTGAAGCGGGGAGGTGCGGAGGGGGGTGTGGGGCGAGAGGAGGGGAGCGGAACAAGGTGGGCGCAACGAGGAGGGTGTGGGCGCTGCTGCTGTGGCTGGCGGTGGGAGTGGCGGCAAGAGCGGGGGAGGACGGGTTATAACAAGTGAAAGGTGTGGATGAGGTCGAAGGGGTGGAAGGAAGGATGGGAAGGGAAGGGGTCGAAGAAATAAGAATGGAAGGAGTGGAAGGAATAGAAGGAAGGATAGGAGTCCAAGGGTTTGAGCCCAAGGGATTGATACAGCTGCTGCCGTTGCTGCTATACGTCTCCATGCCTCCACTCCTGGCGCTGATAGTGCCCATAGCGCTCATTCCGCTCATAGTGCTCATTCCGCTCATTGCGCTCGGACTTATGGTGCTTATGGCGGGGATGAGGGGCGTGGGAGTGCGAGGAACGCTGGCGTGGTGATGGGAGGAGCAGGGGGTGGGAACGCAAGGGAGGATGCCGCAGGTACCGCCACCTTGCTTCTCGCCTACGCTGACTGTGAAACAATGCTGGCTGCTGCTGTTGCCACTGCTGCTGCCGCCGCCGCCACCATTGCTCCCGTTGCTCCATTCGCCACCACCACTGCAACTGCCACCAGCGACATGAGCATAAGCATGAGCATGAGCATGGGCAGGAGCAGCAACAGCAGTCGTCGCGGCGGCGGCGGCGGCGGCGGCAGCAGCAGCAGCAGCACCGCCTGTTGCGCCGGCTTCTCCCTTGCTCGCAGCCGCATCTCGACGGGTTGGCAGCCCAGCAGGGCTCGCCATGGATCTCGCGTCACCGCCTACCAGGCGCGTCCCCATCGCCATGCATTTCGGGGAGCTTTCAAACGAACCATGCATAGTAGCCACGGGTGCCAACCACGCTGCTACCGCGGACGGCGCTGCTCCCGCGAACGCCGTTGCTCCCGCTGCTCCCCCGAACGCCGCTGTTCCCCCGAACGGCGATGCTCCCGCTGCTACCCCGAACGGAGCTGCTCCCGCTGTTCCCCCGAACGCCGCTGCTCCCGCTGCTCCCCCGAACAGCGCTGCTACCGCGGACGGCGCAGTTCTTCCGAACGGCGATGCCACTCCGAACGGCGCCGGCGCTGCTCTGTCGCTCTCCGCAAGCTGCGCGTCCCCCGTGCAGGCGGCTTTCCCCTTAAAATCCGCGCGGATCGCTCCGCGCTCGCCATTGCGGGAGGTCGGGGGGAGCGGGCACGATCGCTTCTGCTGGGGGAACCTGCCAAGGGCGGGAAGGAGGGACGGGCGTGCGATAGGGGGAGAGAGAACGAGAGAGCGGGGGGAAAGCGGGGGGAACGGGGGGAAAAGAAGGCGGGAGGGAGATGGGTGGGGTGGTTGAGATTTCAGGTTTTGATTACGACGCCTCTTAGCTCTTCATCCACCCCTTCCTCAGCATCCAATCACACTCACCCTCCATCTACCGCCAATTGCGGAGCGACCTCCGCCGGGCCGCCCGTTCCGGCCGTCAAGAAGGCCGGCGGAAGTGCGCGCTTCTCGCCCGCGAGCCCGGCCGACTCTACGCGCGAAACGACGAGTAGCTCGTGGTCTCCGTGCCGCGCAAGCGCAGACGGGCTATGATAACGGCTATGATGATAACTCCCTACTTGAACTGGCGTCCCCTGTTGTTGTTCCGCCTGTTGACGTTGCGATTGCTGTTGTTGAGGCTGCTGCTGCTGCTGCGGAGGGCTCTGCGCCGGACTATCCGACAACGGCGGCGGCGACTGGGGCACGGTCGCACAGTGCGCGTGCATGGACGGGATGGAGTGCGACTCCGGCGCCGACAGGAACGGCGAGCGCGGCACGAGATGCGACAGTTCGGGCGACGACGACGCGGACGACGGCCGCGAAGGCTGCGACGGCGGCGAAGGCTGCGACGCGTGCAGCGACGGAACGGAGGTGAACGACAAAGGCCGAGGGAGCGCAGAAAAGGATGAGATAGCGACGGGAGTCGGGGCCGTCATAGTAGATGGGACGACGCCGTCATGGCCGCCGCAATGGCCGCCGCTATTGCCGCCGTTACTGCCGCCGTTACTGCCGTCGTCACTGTGGATTAGCGCCGCAGGCGTCGCCGCGAGGGATGCCGACAGAATTGGCGAGGACGGCAGAGGCAGTGGCGGGAGCGAGGGGGGGAGTGAGGAAGGGAGTGAGGGGAGGGCTGGTGGCGGGAAGAACGGCGTGTGCGCGTCCCACTGGCAGTGGCGTGTTTCGAGGGCGCGCTTGCAGAGGCTCTGGTGCAGCGACGGGGGGAGCGGGCGCATAACGGCTGCCGCGGGACGCGCGCAGGCATTGGTTGGCGCGGGGGCGGAGGGGATGGTGGGGATGTGGGGAATGGGTGGGGGGAATTGTTGGGAGAACTTCAAGATCGTTGATAGGTTATCGGTTAGCGACAGTGATGCCTGTATGGGCGCTACAACCGGAGGCGCTACTACAGCTGAGGGCACCACAAGTAGAGGCGCGACAACTGGGGGCGCTAATGGGGGCGGTACTATTGGCAGTGCCAACTCGCGGCTCGCGGCGGGTGTCGAGAGTGCTGACGGTGGCAGCTGCGCGGCTTGTGGCGCAATTGCTTGAGACACGAGGTACGGCGATTGTCTTGAATGTTGCGAATAATGCGGCGAGTGATGTGGCGGATATGGCGAACGCGGGAGTGCTGGTGGTAACCCGGACATATTAAAGTGGGGAGCGGGGTGTGAGGAAGTGGGCGGCTGCTCGGGGAGGGCGGTGCGGCTGACAGTGGCGGCCATGGATGTTTGACTAGTAAGCATTCGGTATCGGAGGAAGGATAAGTAGCTGCGCTGTGACTTGTAGTAGGGCCCCACGGAATATCCAGAGATATTAAAGAGGAGGATATCCGATGAGTGGAACCGGGGAGCAGGGCGAGGGTGAAGAGGGGTTGAGGAGGGGCGGTACGGAGTTTGGTCTTTGACGTCACTGCTTTTGCGTCAGGGGCTGCGGGAGTGCTTATGGGTGAGAGTATCTTACGAAAAATGGGCGCCTGATACTAAACCCATGGGTCCTGAGGAAACACAGTTGGCAGCCAGAGGCGAATCGATGCGATCCGAGTGCGCCACTGGATAGAACCTACTGAGCACTGGATGCAGGAAATTGACAAGCACAGAGTCAAGCGATTTGGGGGAAAAAAATAACGCGTTCGCAATCAGCGTGCCGGAGTCCAGTTCAAGGAGAGCGAATGTGCTGGTCACAGTTGGTGTTTGGAGTAGATGGCGCATGGTGCCATCAACAAGCATGCCGTGTGAAGGATGGGAAGGGATGGGATGGGAGAAGAGATCGGAGCGATAACAGGCCGGTGGGGAAGAGCGGAGAATCTGAAAGAACCACCCCAGCGCTTCGATCCATTTGGTTCGGTCGGTTTCCAACGACGCGATCTATGATATTTTTGTGCAGATATTTTACCCACAGATACAGAACGGCACTTTTGGCGAATCTGGCTTGTCTTGAATGATCCGTCTCCCTTATGTCAATATTTGCATAACGGCTACCCTTCAAAAATTGGTACCATTCAGAGGGATCCCGATCGTTCGATACCCGGCCATCTTCACTTCCCAGTGGGAGATATTCCTGACAAATCTTGGGCATGGAGTCTAACTTAGCATGCATTTTCCACACCCCCTCTTAGTCCTTAAATGGCATCATCAACAAAATCATTCTGAGTCTCCCCACCACTCTAGACAAGTCATCTGATATACCGCATTGTCTAAGTAGTCGTGGTCTGAAATCCATATCTAGTACTTAAAAACAAATGAACTGCTTAAAGACAGCCACGCAAATCTCCTCCATCACGCATAAATTCGCTACTTAGGCTCAGACTTGAATCATGCAATGCGGGGTTTGTGAAAATACTGTATACTACTTGACAACAAATCTGTAATACCCTATTTTGAACCAGTTGTTTCTGCCAACCAAACCGACCCTTCAGAGCCCTGCTTGCACCCACCCACACACACTTGCCTGCGGCAAAAATGCGCGACGCGCCGGCGAGCGAACTTTTCTCAATCCCATCGACCAGGCTCGCACCGCAGGTAGGGCGACCGAACCCTTCGCAAATGAATCGACCTACATGCGCTTACGTGATATTGACAGCCAATTCAATGTGTAAGAATTGGTGGTCTTCTTAACTGTCACTGTTTCAAGTGGGATAATGTTTGCCAGGTGGTTTTCGTGTTTTCGTAAAAACAAGGTCGCAATTGTGGCTACATTGCCATGACCTTACAAGTTTGGGTTTTTAGTTGAACGCGCACTGTTACTGAACTTATTCGCTCCCCGCGTAGCTACAACGCTTTGGGCGCACTGTTACTGCCAAGAATTCGCTTACAGCGTAGAGTTATTGCGATTTCAACGCAGTTTTGCTTTCATTGGTCACAAAATTGACGGGCCGACAACCCTGCTTGGATTGACGGCCACCGAACCGTCAAACGCTAATATTTCGGGCATAACAAATATAAAACCCTATCGGGTGGCATATTTTTCGAGGGAGGCATCAACCCTAAACACCAGGCGGCAAGGTGTTTAGGGTTGATGCCCTTCCCAACGAGTATATTTTTTCGATGGCGTGCCTTCGATGGAGCATCAACCCTAAACACCATTCGGAAGATGTTTATGGTTGATACCCTTCTGAATGGGGTATTTATTTATCTACCATTAAAAGCATGAATAAAATTGTTACTGTTTTCGCTGACAGTATCCACAGGTTCAGTTTGTAGTTATGTGCCATGCGTCGACCAATGAAATCAAAACTGCGTTGAAATCGCATTATTTCTGAGCTCAAAGCGAAAACTGGGCAGTAACAGTGCGCCAGAAGCGCTGCAGCTGCGCTGGGAGCGAATAAGTACAGTACCAGTGCGTGATCAACTCAAAACCCTACAAGTTTCGGTTGTTTTGTCTGTTTCTGATGGCGCAAAAAAGTTTCGTGCGCGTGTCACGTTTTTTGTCTACATGCTTATTTCTTTTGCCGCGTGTCAATCGTGATTTTTCTGAAACATCTACGGAGCTCTGAATCTAAGCAGGGGCTGAAAACAATAAACCCATAATGGCAGGAACGCAATTCGGGAGGCATCAACCCTAAACACGGGAAGCATGGTGCTTAGGGTTAATGCCTTGAATGTGGTGCAATTCGGGAGGGATCAACCCTAAACACGGGAACTGTCTAGTGTTTAGGGTTGATGCATGAAAGTGTGCCTGGCTCCCTACGGGGTTTAGTTCGTTTTACACCGTATAAAAAACCAGACCAAACAGAAACAGCATAAGACAAGCCTTGTCTGCGCGACCAGACTGAAGTGACGTAACACGTCAAACTGTAATCCCGCGATTCTGGCCGAAAAAAACAAATGGCACCTGTAACGTCGATAAGTGTTCGTCCGCAGCATGAAATAAACGTGGAAACGCATGTAGGTCGATCCATTTGGACGAGGTTCGGTCGCCTTACCTGCGGTGCGAGCTTGGTCGATGGGATTGTGAAAAGTTCGCGTGCCGGCGCGTCGCGCAATTTGCCCCTTGCCTGCCTTGGCCCTGGTCCTCCACACCATCTCTCACAAGAATTTGGAGGACCCAAGGGACGTGGGTCTCAGATCGAGATTCACAACAAGTTTGGGCAGTAGGCTCGGATGAGGGAGGTTTGGGAGCGGGGGGTAATCAGCGTGAGAGCTTACTGTGTATTTTCAGGATCCAAGGAGCATGCGACCATGTTGACAACCTTTCGACGGGGCGCTAAACTTGCAAGTCCTCGCCTACACTTAGGCATGCACCAGGCATGCTTCCAGTTTGTAACATCATTTCGAGAACGGGACTGTACATAAACATGACGGCTGCATCGCATCCGAATCGCGTTTCTTTCGTCTCCGCATTCGGTAGGTGGCTTCTTCTGACAGGCATCACCAGTACAAGGCAGCCTTGGCCATCAGCGCTCTGGAAGTCAGGGTGATTGTTTCTATTCCAATTTGATTTTTCTAGAATGAGGTTCTTGCATTACCATGCTATAGCAGCCTTCCACGATGACACCAACCTGGCAAGGCTCGACAAGAGTTTGGATTCACCCTACAATTGCATGTATGAAAACGCTAATATTGTGAAAACGCTCCAAATCATCCTGGTATGGGACTTTCGAGTTCCCCAAATATTGTGACTGACTGGATGGAACTTTGAAATTGGCTCTCGCAAGCGCGAAAGTAGGCAAATGCAATGCAACACTCACACACACGCAATTGATCCGTCGGCATCAGAAAACTTGCCCTTCCTCTCCTATTAGCCTTCTCCACTGGCGACACAAAGCTAGGAAAATTGCTTGCTTAGTTCGCAAACGATTACGCTGGAGTCGTAAAACAAATCTTACTGAGTTCGCGAAAACCACCCTGCCAGTTCGGACAATAAGAACGAATTATCCTGCCTTTCTTAAACCGACTCACCGGGCACCTTTCAGTGGCGGGGTCGCAACTTTGATCTGGTAGGGCCTCCCAAAATATATCGAGAACCCCCAATAGATGGCTGGCTATATTTTCCCTACCTCTATGATTTGTATGTACAATGATTACGATCAATATTAACCTAACCTTCACCCCCGGGACTATCGAGAACCCAGCCAATCAGCGGTCAGGACTCACGAGTTGAGCATCCAGTCAGAAGGTAAGGCGTTCTCCCTCGTTTCCCTTCCAGGTTGCATACAGCTGATGCCCATTAGAAGAACGCCAACTTCGCCTTATCAAAGGGCCGGGATTGAGCACATGCACTTCGCCTACCTCGCCTTCGTCGCCACGGGAAAAAAATGGGACTGTAAGGGGCAAGTGGACAGGGTTGCGAAAAACCATGTAACAGTTTGAAAATATCTGGCGAAGGGACGGCTGACAGCGTGATAAACAGTTCGATCTACGGCTAAGATCTACTGATTGACACTGTACATGAAGGGCCGTTGCCCGTGCTCAAATGCACGTTTGAAAATGGGCCGGGCAAATGCAACGGGATTAGGTGAGCATCAGCTGTAACGAAAGACTCTCAAACTATCGCAAGTTGACTTGACATTGGCTCCAAGCACCTACTGTAGTATGCTTGGAGTTTAGGACGTGTCACGGTTTGCCTCTGATCGGCTTTGATTTGGTCGGGGCTGATCGGATCGGGGTGCCCCCCATTACTGTGCTCGCGCCGCCCGATCAGATGAGAAGTTCCTCGAATGTTTTACGAGGGAGCATGGCAACCGTCTCACCCTTACCAAACACTTTTGCGCCCACTTTGGCGAGGGCGAAGTCCTCAGCCTGGATCTAACGAAGTTCATTGTTTCTCTGTAATTTCACGTGAACAGATGCCCAGAAACGCTGCAGAGGATGGTTCCGAAAGTTCTCGCCAGGGTGGTTGTTTGAGCGAGAGCTACGAAACACTGAACAACAGCGTAACTTCTCGCTGGCGTCGCTTGGTTTTCCCAAACCAATGCAATCAACTGATCGTCGGTGATTGTGTGGGGTTGTGTTTGATTGGGCTGATTTAGGCGGCTGATCGAGTTGGGGCGATCAGCTGATCGCGATCAGGTGATTGCCCCCGATTGCCTGAAAATTGCCGCCCTAGCTTCCTGGAAGTGATTGATCGACTGTGATCGGGGCAATCAGAGGCGAACCGTGGCACGTCCTTAAAGCGTCTTGGATGTGTTCGTCCACTAAGCTTTCCGGGGAATACACTATTCCGCAGTTTGGGTTCTCTGGAAACTATAATTGAGACCGATGGTACAGAAGCAAGTGAACAAAAAATGTACATGCTCTACTGCATTGTACAAAAGGCGGTGCAGCGGCAGGGTGCACTAAATATCGATATCATGCGACGCGATTCTCCCATTACAGTACATTACACCTGCAGCCTCCCCTACAACCCCTTGTAGCCTCTCCTAACCCAACCATTTCTTCCTCGTCCCTCGCTCCCTCCCCTACCGCCCAATATATGTCCCCTTTGCCCTTTCTCAACCCCCACGCCCTTCTGACCCCACAAAACAACGCCAGAACCACCAGATTAGATGCGCGGTTTGCATCATCACTGGACTGTACATCAAACGAACTGCGCAGCGCGCACGTGCGGAATTATTAAGAGTGACCAACAAACCAAGCCTTCAACACAGCGATGAACGTCCAACTGCAGGGTTGCAATGCTCCTTGCAAAGCTGGTTTGGATACTTGCAGTTCAGAAATTTCGGGCAGCGACAACAAGAATATACATGAAGCTCCCATGTGCGCAGTCAGCTGACTCCAACAACAAACATCTCAATGAAGTAGATACGAATAGCCTCAGCTGGATAATATTGACGAAACGAATATTGTGGATGCCTTCATTCTACCAAAGCCGTTTTTACAGTCTCAGTCACTACTGTGGATGTACGCATCGTATGGGGTACTGCGTCCATATAACAATAAACAATATCACATATTTCTTATGACTCCACATAGCAAATACTGTTTGAGAAATCTCCTTATTCTGTACCCTAAAAGGAATATCGATTGACAGTGAAACTATTAAAAAATGAAAAAAAAATCCCTTTTGATTATTCATCTGTTAAGCGCAGATTGAACTGTGGAAAGCAGCACAGGCATCAGAGTGGCATTGGTTGCAATGATACCTGTATCTAAATCCAGGAACCTACCACGAGAGAAGTCAAGAGGTTGCCCTGCTGCGTCACAAACTTTCCCTCCAGCCGCTGGGAAAAAAAGGGTTTGCAGTGGAGAATACCCGGAACAAATGGAAACACTGGCAACATCAGACAGGCCAAGCATACAACATTGCTTGCAGACCGAACACCCTGCTATCCTGACAACCCATCCCATCCCATCCCATCCCATCCCATCCCATCCCATCCCATCCCATCCCATCCCATCCCATCCCATCCCATCCCACCCAACCCCATCCCATTGCACACACCAGAGATGACAAGGCTGCCAGCAGCATGGTCCCAGATCTTCTCCAGGTATCCATCCGGCGGGAAGCGCATATAAATGGCGGCATCACCGCGCGCCATGGCTCCGTACTTGGCTTGCGAGTCAATGCGCACGGGGGGCGCCACCACGCCCAGCGCCTGGTTGTTGCGGGAAGGGAACGACAGGGAGGGAGACGACTTTTGATGCGCCTCAAAAGGTGCGCCATGACTCCATACTTGGCTTGCAATGTGAGTCAATACGCACGGGGGGTGCCACCACGCCCAGCGCCTTGTTGTTGGGGGAAAGGAGTGGGAGGGAGGGAGCGGGCGGAGAGAGGGGAGACAGCAGTTGAGATGAGAGCGTGCGAGTGAGGGGAGGAGATTGACGGGGCCAAACGAATGGGGAAAAGGGTGGGATATAGGGTGTATGGGATGGTAGTTTGGTGCAGATGTGAGGTTATATGGATGATGGTTTGGGCAGGTGTCAGAGAGGGACAGGAATAGTGCTTGGGCAAGAGTGTGGGGGATGCACAGCCATGTCGTAGCTCGAATCGAAGCAGCAACGACAGGAAATAGAGCAAAGAGAAACAAGAGTATGGGGTGGTGGTTGGCATGGTTTGTGCAAGGGGTGTGAATGAACATGGGATGGGCATGCAGTGGGACGGGCATGGGGTGGGGTGGACGTGAAATGGGCTGGGGTGGTGGAATGTTGGGTGACAGACAAACGGTCCTGTGAGATAAATACTGCGAGGTTGCTATTTTTGAGGCGCCTCAAAAGCGGACGGACCTGTGCGATAGATGCTGTAACCAACTGACGGATTGACGGACTGACTGACTGACTGACTGATGGACGGTTTGAGCAAGAGAGCAACTGACCCGCGCGTGCCATTGATGGGGTCCAGCACCCAGTGCCGCCCGCTGCTCCCTCCCTTTTAGGGACAGTTAGAGGAGTGTGGGGGGGGGGGGGAGATATGTCAAGCAAGGGAGGACCAGCATGACCGACAGACTGAACGACCAACAGACCCGCGCGTGCCATCAATGGGGTCCAGCACCCAGTGCCGCCCGCTGCTCCCTCCCTCCGCGCCCCCTGCGTCGATCAGCGCCACCACCTGCGCCTCGCTCAGCACCGCCGCCGCCCCTCCGCCCCATGCTTTGTTGCTGCTGCTGGCGATGGTGGCGTTGACGAGTGCTGTGATGCGCTGCAGCATGCCCCGCCCCTCTGGTGCTGTCAGCTGCGTGGAGTCCTGGCGTGGTGAGGGAGAGGAGGGAAAGCGGGAGCGGGATTTGTGGACAAAGAAACAGGCAGAAGCAGGAGGTAAGTGAAGCAGCAAGATAAAAAACAAACAAACCTGTGTTCCTTCCCTTGCACGCCCACGTTGCGCCCACCTTTCTCCATCGCCGCCCCCTTCTCTGGGCTGGGCCCCTCCAACCGGTGGCTGCTCTGCTGCTCCCCGCTCCCCAATCGATTCTCCTTCCATTCCCACATTCCCTTCACCTACTTCCTTCACCCTACCTTACCTCCCCCCTTTCCCTTCCCCGTTCCACCCTCGTTACCCCCTCATCCCCCCCATCAACCCCGTGTCCCCACCTCTTCCGCCACCATGGAGAAGGCGCCTGGCAGCCCGTGCTGCTGCAGCGCCCACGCCACCAGCACCTGCGAACCTGGGCGGGTGGGGGAGGGGAGTGGAAGGGCGAGGGCAGGGAGTTGAGGGGATGGGGGAGGGAAGGGCAGGGAAGGGAAGAAAAGGGGGAGGGACGGGGAGGGGGCAGAGCAGGCGGGAGAGGGGCGAAGGGGAAAGAGGGGGAGAGGGAGAGACACGAGTTTACATGCATGGCATGGCCCGGCAGGTAAGGGGGCGCACGGACAGGTTGGTTGGTTGGTGGTAGGGGATGATGTAAAACGATGGAATGGGCAGGGTTGTTGTCGCTTTGATGCATGCATGAACACAAAGGAAGAGTGCATGCCCCCACTCATGCATACATACGTGCATAGATGTGAAACTTACAGCTCTGTCTCTGTCTCCCTGACCATACATCCCCCACCCGCCATGCCTCCTGTGTCAACATCTCCCATCCCATAATCAATCACGTCACCCCACCATCCCATTCTCATCATCATCCCATCCTATCGACGCCCCGCGCCCCACGCCCCGCGCCCCGCGCCCCACGCCCGCCCCAGCGCACCATAGTCAGCGATGGTAACGGGCGACTCGTCGGACTTGCTGGCTGACTCCTCCGCCTTTAGCCCGCGCTGCACCGTCTGGGGATACGGGATTGCGGATGGGGTGGACGGGAACAGGGAGCAGGGGGGAGGGGAGGGGAGAGGGAGGGAGGGATGGAAGGGGGAGGGAGGAGAGGGGGAAGGGAGGGGTAGAAACAAGCAGGTGGGTTTGCACAAGAGCAGCGAAGGGGGTGTGGTGTTCGGTCGTCGTGGCGCCATGGTGAGAGCACATGCTCTAGCGACTTGGGGGAGAGAGGAGTGAGTGGGTGCCCGTCTCCCCCCCGCTCTGGCGACTGGGGGAGAGAGGAGTGGGTGGACGGGGTGTGTTGGGGGATTAGGCGAGGGGGAAGGGCGCCGATTGTGACGAATGGGGGAAGCGGAAGACGCAATGATGGTTCGCATCCGGGGAAATGAGAAGATATGGGGGAACTGGGAAAATGTGTGAGAATGCAGGAATGAGGAAGAAGGGAGACGGGCAGTGGTGGGGACGGGGAAGAAGACGCCTTTCGTCGAATCTGTTTTTTGAGAATTCTAAAAAAACAGTTTCAGCCCGCTGCTAGCGGAGCAGCAGCAACGGTCGACCAATCCGACCCATGCAAAGCGCGCCATTTGTTACTACCCCCCGCATCGCCATCGCCATCGCCATCGCCATCGCCATCGCCATCGCCATCGCTATCGCCATCGACGCTGCGCGGTGCATGTAAACCCACCTCGCACAGCGCGCACGCGAGTCGAACGGCGCTCTCCGCCGCTGCCAGTTCATCCGCGTACACCGCCGCGCTGCCGTTCCCGGCCGCAGCGCTCCCCGACGCCATGACGGTAGTGCGCCGACCGCCCGCGTCGCTGTTCCGCTCCGCGCGCCGGCCGTCACTCAGCCGCAGCGGGGGGTTCGCGGAAGAGCCGCGCGGGAGCGAGAAGCTTTGGCGGAAGCCGGGGAGAGGCGGCAGCAGAGGCAGCGGCGGTAGCGGCGACGGCCCGGGGGAGCGGTGCGAGAGCGCGCATGGCGCGACTGCGGAGAAGAGGGAGGCGGCGGTGCGCGCTGGGAAGGATGGGCCTGGCGGAATGACGCCCGCTGGACTTGGAGAGATTGGGGAGGGGGCGGGTTGTGACCCGCGCGCTTGATCAATTGATGGGGGGAAAGAAGTGGTTGGGAAAGGGAGAGCATTTCTGTACGCGGTTTTGTATGATTTGGCAACGAGTGTCAGTTTGTACAGTGTTCAGGTTGAGTAATTTTGGTTTGTCACAATTCGCCACCACTTCGCCTAAACCAAAACCCCGTCGTGCAACCCATCGCATCCCACATCTTGCCAAGGATTCCAGAGACCACAGCAAACACACACACAGGAACCTTTGAATCAAGTCTTTACTCCTAGGCATCCTGTTTGCACGCACAACAGCCGCATTTCTTGCGCATCCTCCGTTGCGCACCCCTCAGCCGCTCCATTCCTTGCCTGCGTAGCTCCGCGCGTCCAGCGCCGTCATTTCGCTCGGCGGCTTTCCGCGCTCGTAGCGCTCTCCCCCTTCCGCGCGCCCCTATGGCGGGCCTTTCCAATCTCTTCGACAATAATCCGTTCCGCCGAGCCGCCCTCCCCTCCGCACCTTCCCCAGGCCATGGCTCTGCAGCTGCGCCCGCCGGGAAAACCCCACCACCTTCCGCGCGCACAGGGCCATCCCCGTCCGCCAGGCTGGGCGCGGCGCTTGCGGAAGCCGCTGCGCTCCGGAAGCACGCGGGGAAAGGTGAGGGGGAAGCGGAAGCAAGAGGGAAGGGCGGAAAGAAGTTGAAGAAGCGCAAAGGGAGCGAGACGGATGGGGACGGGGGAATGAGTGGAGGGGGCGGTGGGGAAGGGGAAGCGGAAGGGGCGCAGGGGGGCAAATGGGAGGGCGCAGAGTTGGCGGACGTTACAGCGGCGAAAGGGGCACAGGCGGAAGGGGGGAAGAAGAAGAGAAGGAAGGGGGAGGCGGGTGAGAAGCAAAAGAAGGGGAAAAAGGACGTAGTGGAGCGAGAGAGTGAGGGATCGGGTGAGGCGACGACAGGTTTGGAACGAGAAGACGTTACAGCGGACGGCGGCAAGAAGAAAGATAAAAGAAACAAGAAGGAGAAGAAAGGGAGGGGCAAAGACAGCGCGCGAAAGGTTCTGGGTTCCGGGCTTAAGACACATTCCGAGACCGAGAGGAGGGAGACGGACGGTGGGGATGAGGGAGCGGAAGACGCGGAAGAGGATGGGGATGAGGAGGAGGAGGTGGAGGAGGTGGAGGAGGAGATGGAGGGTGTGGAGGAGTTAGGGAGCGAGGACGAAGGTGCGGCGAATGATGGGGAGGAGGATGTAGATGCTCACAGCGACAGCAGCTCGAGTGAGGAAGAGGAAGAGGAGGATGAAGACGAGTTAGAGGGGGATCTAGTCGGATGGGGTGAGGAGGAAGGCGGAGAGGAGGACGCGGAGGCAGAAGAGGAGGACGAAGAGGAAAGGGAGGATGGGCAAGGGGAAGCGGAGGGAGCAGTGGGCGCGGCGGGGGAGAACGAGGGCAAGGGCACGGCGAAGCCAGCAGCAGCAGCGACAGCGGCGGCGGGGGATGCGGAGCGGGCGCTGACCGGGGCGCAGAGGCGCGCGAAGAAGCGCGCGGAGAAGCAGCAGGCGCGCGAGGAGCGCGCGGAGAAGCTACAGCGCACGGTGTTCGTGGGGAACCTGCCCGTGGGCGTGGGGCGCAAGGCCCTCGCGCGCCTCTTCACCTCCTTCGGCCCCGTCGAGTCCGTGCGCCTGCGCTCCATGCCCCTCGCTGACGACGTGAGTCGGTCTCTGGTTCTTCAAGCTTTCTTTCGTCAATCCTTGTTTCTTCAGGCCTCGCCGTTATTGTCCAGTAATCTAAGAAGCTGACTGAAAGGGCCCTTCGGCCCTGTCGAGTCCATGCGCCTGCGCTCCATGCCCCTCGCCGACGACGTGAGTCGGCCTTCCTTTCGTCAAGCCCTGTTTCTTCATGCCTCGCCGTTATCGTGCTGTGACCTCATGCCTTCATGTCCTCGTCACTCCCTTTCCCTCCCTCTCTCTCCCTCTTCCTCCGTCAGATCAAGAAGATGCCGCGTCGGTCTGCGGTCCTCAAGAACAAAATATCTGCCACCCACAAGAGGTGCCTTGGGGGGTTGGGATGAGAGGGGTGAAGAGGGGGGGGGGAGGAGGGGGAGGGGAAGGGTCAGTGGGCGGGAAGATAGGACTGGGTGCGATGCATGCGCACAAGACCTATGGTGCTTCTTTTTTCAACCCGAAATGCATGCAAGCTCATCCATTCCTCTCCCTTTCGTCTATTCTCCGTTTCTGTCTGTGCTGTGCTGCTCACTTAATCCCTCATTCTCCTCTCTCTTCCACTGCACTGTTCCCTCTCAGCTCCCTCCCCGTCCGTTTCCCCGACCCGTCCCAAACCCCCCTCCTCATCCCTGCAAACTCTAAACGTCTGGTTCAATCCTCCCCTCTCCTCCTCTTCTAACTTCACCGTTCCCTCTCCCCCCGTGTGTGCAGCTGCAATGCATACGTGGTGTTCAAGAGGCATGACTCCGTCACACCATCTCTCACTCTCAACATGACCCTGGTATGCTCCGCTCCCCTCCCATGCCATCCCGATCCCTTCATGCCATGCAATGCCATGCCATGCCATCCGTGCCATTCGTTGTCCGCCACACCCTCCCCCCTTGTGCTCCCACCCTTCCCCCCTGTGCGCCCAACCACTCCCCCCCTGTGCGCCCAACCCCTCCCCCTGTCCGCCTCACCCCCTCCCCCTGTGCGCCCACACCCTCCCCCGGTCCGCCACTATATTGCAGTTTGAGGGGAGGCACATTCGGGTGGACCGTGCTGCTGCCCTTGCACCCCCCAAGTCCTCCTCTGCAGCCGCAGTGTGTGTTCCCCACAACCCCTCCCCCTGTCCACCACACCTCTCCCCGTGTTCCCCACAACCTCTCCCCCCGTCCCCCCTGTCCCCCACTTGCAGTTTGAGGGGAGGCACATTCGGGTGGACCGTGCCGCTGCTCCCGCACCCCCCAAGTCCGCCTCTGCAGCTGCGGCAGCAGAAGCGGCGGAGGAAGCAGCAGTGCCGGCAGCAGCAGCCAAGTACGATCCGTGGCGGTCGCTGTTCCTGGGGAACCTGCCCCACGACGTTGATGTGAGTCAGGGCATTGTTGCACACTTATTCACTCATGGCGCACGGCAAATGACTATTGAGTCGACTCAAAAGTCAACACAGCAGCCAAGTACGATCCGTGGCGGTTGCTGTTCCTGGGGAACCTGCCACACGACGTGGACGTGAGTTAGGGCGTGCTGCTGCACACCCACTCATGGAGCATGTCAGATGGTGCACGGCGCACGACTCATAGGCACTGCATGATGCACGCAGCACTCACCGTAGTTCCACTCCCGTACTTCCACTCCCGTACTTCCACTCCCGTACTTCCACTCCCGTACTTCCACTCCCGTACTTCCACTCCCGTACTTCCACTCCCGTACTTCCACTCCCGTACTTCCACTCACCGTAGTTCCACTCCCGTACTTCCACTCACCGTAGTTCCACTCCCGTACTTCCACTCACCGTAGTTCCACTCCCGTACTTCCACTCACCGTAGTTCCACTCCCGTACTTCCACTCACCGTACTTCCACTCCCGTACTTCCACTCACCGTAGTTCCACTCCTGTACTTCCACTCACCGTAGTTCCACTCCCGTACTTCCACTCACCGTAGTTCCACTCCCGTACTTCCACTCACCGTACTTCCACTCCCGTACTTCCACTCCCGTACTTCCACTCCCGTACTTCCACTCCCGTACTTCCACTCCCGTACTTCCACTCCCGTACTTCCACTCCCGTACTTCCACTCCCGTACTTCCACTCCCGTACTTCCACTCCCGTACTTCCACTCACCGTACTTCCACTCCCGTACTTCCACTCCCGTACTTCCACTCCCGTACTTTCACTCCCGTACTTCCACTCCCGTACTTCCACTCCCGTACTTCCACTCCCGTACTTCCTCCGTACTTCCCCGTACTTCCACTCCCGTACTTCCACTCCCGTACTTCCACTCCCGTACTTCCACTCCCGTACTTCCACTCCCGTACTTCCACTCCCGTACTTCCACTCCCGTACTTCCACTCCCGTACTTCCACTCCCGTACTTCCACTCCCGTACTTCCACTCCCGTACTTCCACTCCCGTACTTCCACTCCCGTACTTCCACTCCCGTACTTCCACTCCCGTACTTCCACTCCCGTACTTCCACTCCCGTACTTCCACTCCCGTACTTCCACTCCCGTACTTCCACTCCCGTACTTCCACTCCCGTACTTCCACTCCCGTACTTCCACTCCCGTACTTCCACTCGCGTACTTCCACTCGCGTACTTCCACTCGCGTACTTCCACTCGCGTACTTCCACTCGCGTACTTCCACTCCCGTACTTCCACTCCCGTACTTCCACTCCCGTACTTCCACTCCCGTACTTCCACTCCCGTACTTCCACTCCCGTACTTCCACTCCCGTACTTCCACTCCCGTACTTCCACTCCCGTACTTCCACTCCCGTACTTCCACTCCCGTACTTCCACTCCCGTACTTCCACTCCCGTACTTCCACTCACCGTAGTTCCACTCACCGTAGTTCCACTCCCGTACTTCCACTCACCGTAGTTCCACTCCCGTACCTCCACTCACCGTAGTTCCACTCCCGTACTTCCACTCACCGTAGTTCCACTCCCGTACTTCCACTCACCGTAGTTCCACTCCCGTACTTCCACTCACCGTAGTTCCACTCCCGTACTTCCACTCACCGTAGTTCCACTCCCGTACTTCCACTCACCGTACTTCCACTCCCGTACTTCCACTCCCCATAGTTCCCGCCCATTGTCCCTTACGCTTCATCATTTACGCCCATTACCTGCCTCGTACTCAACCACAACCCTCATCCTGCCTCCACCATCTCCTTGACCCTTCTGACTCCCCTATTAACTCCCCTATTAACTCCCCTTCTAACTCCCCTTCTAACTCCCCTTCTAACTCCCCTTCTGTCTCCCCTGCTGTCAGCCATGAAAGCTGGGCGAGCTGCAGTTAGGAAGTTACTTTTAGCTAAAAGTAACTTCCTAACTGCCTCCACCATCTCCTTGACCCTTCTGACTCCCCTATTAACTCCCCTTCTAACTCCCCTTCTGTCTCCCCTGCTGTCTCCTCCCCACGCCACAGGAAGAGGAGGTGCTATCGCTGTTCTCAGCACCTTTAGCAGCTGCTGCTCGCTCCGCAGCACCCGCGGTGACAGCTGCGGATGTGGAGGGGGTGCGCGTGGTGAGGGATCGCCACACCAACCAGGGCAAGGGCATTGCATTCGTGCTCTTCAAGACACGGGTATACTTCTTTTCCCAACCTGCTCCAAACTGCGCCCCTCTGCGCCCAACTGCTGCGCAAGACAAGAAAGGCTCACTCATGCCACCCATCTACCCTCACTTGTGCCGCCCAGGCGCCCCTGTTCTCACAACTGCCAATGCTGCCGACTGGAAACTCTAGCCATTGCTATGGGCTAGGAAACTCTGCCATTTCAAAGCCTAAACAATCAGTTATTTTAAGCATTAACACACTGCTCACAAGTGCTCCCTTTGCGCTCAGTCTGACTGACAGCCCTTCGCTTTCTGACTGCTGTCTGCTGCCTGCCCCCTGCTTCCCTGCTCCCTCATTCTGCCGTGTTCAAACCCTTCCCCAACTTACCCACCTCTCTTCCACAGGAGGCAGCGCTTTCGCAGCGGCGCAAGGGAGCAGAGGTGCGGGGGCGAGCTGTCAGAGTGATGCCTCTGTCTCTCAAGGCGCAGGAGCAGACACGTGCTAAGGCTCAGATGCAGGCGGAGAAGCGCGGGAGGAAGGCCGGCAGGCCGGGGGCAATAGGGGGAGACGGGGGAGGGAGAGGAGGCGGATGGGCGATGGGGAGGGGTGGCGGTTTTGCCGGTGCTGGTCGGGGGGGAGGGAGGGGAGGAGGGAGGGGGGGAGGAGGCGGGGAGGGTGGTGAGGGAGGGGGGGGACAGGGAGGGGGAGGGTCGTACCAGGGGGCAAAGGCGAGCAAGATGGGGAAGGGAGGAGGGAGAGGAGGGGGGAGAGGAGGGGGGAGGGGAGGAGGGAGGGGCGCTGGGGCTGGGAGTCAGGTGCAGAAGCTTGCAGAGATGATGCCGAGAGGAAAGGCGCTGAGCAAGAGAGGAGGAGCAACGGCGGCAGGGAGAGGGAGGGGAGGGAAGGCGGCAGGGAGAGGCAGGAGATAGTTTTTTTGGGAGCTTTGAGAGGCCGAGGGAGTGTAGAGAAGGGTTTCCGGGTTGTGAGCGAGCGGCGATTTGCTTGTTCAATGCTCAGTACGACAAGCACATGCTGCTGCCTGGCATGGTTGCGTAGATTTGCGGTGTTTTCGTGGAGTTGTGTCTGTCTGAGGGTACCGTATGTTGTAACTTGGTACCAACCAGCTGTATGAGGATTTGAGCCTGGTGTTACATAGATGGTGCAACATGTTCAGAAGGCTTTCAGGACATCAGGCAGCTATAACCACACGAATTATGCCACTCATGGCAATACTATTTCTCATACTTCAACCCATTGTACAACACAAATGTATTTTACTGGCATGAGTAAAAACAACAAAAAGGAGTCATCAAATGGTGATAAGTCCAGAGATGAACAGAAGCAGGAGGATGTAGGGCAGAAGGCAGGTGGGTTGAGAGACACGAGCAGAGGCAGCCTTGGTGGTGGTGGTTGAAACGGGTGAGTTGGACGGCCCAGTCACTGCAGGAGAGATGCAGGGAGGAATGTCGGGAAGGGGGGTCAGGGGGGATACGGGGGAAGATGTGGGGGGAGATGCAGGGGGGATGCAGGGGGGGGATGCGAGGGAAGATGCGGCGGAAAGTGTTGGTAGCAGGGATGGAGAGAGGAGAGTGGAGAAGAGAGGGGGGAAAGGAGGTGGAGGGGTGGTGCGGTTGGGGAGGGAGTGTGGTGGAAGGGAGAGAGGAAGGGGAGGTATTAGAAACTTCATCACAATATGCAGCAAGCTTCACTTGCTTGAAAGCCTGGAAACCGGCTCCAGCCTCCAAGCAAGAGCGGCAAACGTTATCACTTGCCGCGTACTCGCGCAGCAGTCACGGCGAGCGGAGTGCCACCATGCATCCCCCTGTCTTCTCCCCGCCATGGCTAGTTCAAATCAAACAAAGAAGCCACAGGCGAGGCCTTTTGCCCCTGCACTGCTGAGAACTCTCAAAAGTGTTCACGGAAAACAGCAGCAGCAGCTGCAGCGACGGCGGTGGGGGTAGCAGAAGCAGCAAGAGGTGCCTTCCAGGCACAAGCCTTTCCAGGCACAGGCATTTCCTGAAGCAGTAAGATTGAAGGATTGTACCTGATTCGTTGGTGCAAGCGGCGCAGAAGCCACTGCAGGAAGCACAGAAGCGAGAGAAAGACAGCTGAGGCACCTCACATGGCCCCCCTGCTGCACACTGCACCCGGTCCCTGTCAAACCAGCTGGGGGGGAGGGGGGTGAGAGAGGGGAGAGGCGAGGGGGTTGTGGTGTTTAGACGTCCAAAAGTGAGGCACCTCACATGGCCCCCCTGCTGCACACTGCACCCGGTCCCTGTCAAACCAGCTGTGGGAGGGGTGAGCGGGTGAAGGGGAAAGGGGGAGAAAGAGAGAGGGAGCGTGAGGATAAGGTGAGAGGGAAGGGTGGGAGATGGGGAGGGGGAGAGAGGAAAAGATGGGAGAAAAAGGGTGAGGGGGAGAGGGGAAGGGAACGGGGTATTTGGGAGGAGCGAGTATCGTGCCTAGGGAAATGGGATGTACATATAGATGGACAGAGGGTGTGGGGGGCATAGAACGTGGGGGAGAAGGTATGCTGAGACATTAGATATGGGGGGCATGGGATGTGGGGGAGAAGAGCAGAGGCGTACAGGCGAGTGAGGTTGGTGAGCTGGCCTAGCATGGCGGGTAGAGACCCCGCAAACTGGTTGTGAACCAGGTTGCTGCCACGCCCACAGCAGTCATTGTGAGGGGGGGGGAGAGATGAGATGGGATGGGATGGATGGAATGGGATGGATTGAGTTGGGATGGGATCGAAGCGGCCTTGGAGAGCGAGATGAATGAGCGAGGAGCAGGGATAAGGGGGAAGGGAGGGGCAGCAGCAACATCCAGTATCGCTACCACGGTCATGGAACTCTGAAATGCCACCTTGGACGACGCAAGAATACACCAAATCACGAGACTGAAGCACACGCGCACGCGCGCACACACACACACACACACACACACACACGGACACACACACACACACACAGCTACACACACACACACCTACACACCTACACACACACACACACACACACACACACACGCACGCTCGCACTGCATTTGCATTGTTAGCAGCTATGGCTACAATAGCCAAGACTAACGCCCAGAAGCCCATCCCATCCGCTCCCAACCATCCCCAACCATCCCCCACCGTCCGCAACTGTCCCCCTCCATCCTCATCCATCCCCATCCATCCCCATCCATCCCCATCCATCCCCATCCATCCCATGTGCGTCTCACAGGCTATCGAGGCCCGACAAGTGCCCCAGCGATGGCGGTATGCTGCCAGTCAGCTGGTTGTTGCCCAGGTTGCTGAGCAGGCGGGAGAGGTGTGCGAGGAGGGAGAGAGAGGAGGGGGGGGACAGGATGCCACAGGTGCACATATCTGACGATCTGACAGTCATTCTCCTAAACTCTCAAGGCGTCTTTGAGAATTCCCAAGATCGATCACGAGAACTCTTAAGACAGGGGGAGGGGGGCAGGGAGGATGCACGGGTGCGCACGCTTGTTGTACCGACCGTGCACAGCAAAGCAGGGGGCAGAAATGTATTGCACCAATGGATTCACGTGCCTTAGGAGATGAGGATGCACATGGGCATGGGCATGGGCATGGGCATGGGCATCCCTATGGGCATGGCATGCACATGCGCATGGACATCCACATGCCTATGGCCATGGACGCACACACAAAGCAGGGTCAGAACAGTCCCTTTCTTCTCTCGCCCCGGCCACAGTTGAAGCAGAGTGGAACTTTTTCAGGCCCTTGAGAGCAGCGAAGGCTCACAGTTGAAGCAGGTTAGAGAGCAGACCCAGGGAGTCGGGAACAGGGCCTGACAGGCGGTTGTTGCCCACGTCCCTGCATGCATGCATGAGTGAGGAGGTCGGGACGGGACACAAGGGACGGGACGGGGGTGGGATGCAGTGATATGGTTGGGAGGGAAGGCAGGGATGTGATGAGACGCAGGGGATGGGTGAGACAGGAAAGGCGGGGAGGCACGAGGGGCTTTCAGGAGGAACGGACAGGATGAGGCAGAGTCACGGGAAAGGGGGGCTGGGTGGAAGGTGAAGGGGTGCTCGAGAAATATCGAGTGATGCGGCTTCTGAACAATGTGGAAAAGGGATGGTTCGTTGGGTGGGCACAAGAACGATACGGGTGGAAGAAAGAGGGGATGGTAGATGGAAAAAGGGGACGGAACAAGAGGTGGAGGCAGCAGGAGGTGGAAGAAAAAGGAGGTGGGAAGAAACAGTAGGTGGAAGAACAGTACAGCCAGGTGAGGGCAGAGAGGGCGCTGAGTTCGTCTGGGATGGACCCTGAGAGCTTGTTCATGCCCAGCCATCTGCCCGGTGTGTGGTGGGGAGGAACAAGGGGGAGGGCATGTCACATGGACGCAGCAGGGCATGTCACATGGACGCAGCAGGGCATGTCACATGGACGCAGCAGGGCATGTCACATGGGCACAGCAGGGCAAGGGGGGAGGTGCAGGGCATCGGGTGGGAAGGCACTGGAGGGGTTATGAGCAGGGTGGGAGGATGGGGAAGGAAGAGCAAGGAAGGTGTGAGAAGAAGGTGATTGGGGGTGTGGCATGTGGAGGCGGAGCGCCTTGCATAGAAATGTGCTGGTGACACAGCGGCAGCTGCAGCTGCAGCAGCAGGATCAGGAACAGCAGACGCGGGAGGAGGAGCCAAAGCAGAAGCAGAAAGAACAGGAGGGGCGGCGGCAGCAGGGGGTGATGAAGACGCACAGCTGCTTAAGGTTGGTGAGCGCACTGACGGTGTAGGGGATAGTGCCGCTCAGATCGTTGAACCATAGCAAGCTGGAGAGGGGAGGAGGAGGGATATTGGAAGGGGAGGAGAAAGGATGTTGGAAGGGGAGGGGGGGGTGGGAGGACGGGGAGACGAAGAGGGGGAGAGGGGGGGAGGAAGGTGGGGTGGTTAGCGTGAGAATGGGATGAGGAGCCAAGTGATGGGTGCGGAACCAAGGAGGGAGAGAAAGGACGGAACGGGCATGCGAGAGAGAGTAGGGATGTAGTGTCAAGTGGTGAAACCAGGCTGGTGAACGACAGTGTAATGAGTGTGGCCAATGGAAGTTACGTACTCGACGGAAGGGAGGGGAGAGAGAGGGGGGAAAGGAAGGAGACAAGGAGGGAGGGAGGGAGGGAGGGAGGGAGGGAGGGAGAGAGGGAGGGGGGGAGGGAGGGAGGGAGGGAGGGAGGGAGGGAGGGAGGGAGGGAGGGAGGGAGGGAGGGAGGGAGGGAGGGAGGGAGGGTTTGAGGGAGGGAGGGATGGAGGGAGGGAGGGAAGGAGAGAGAAAGGAGCGGAGGGAATGGTAAAGGGACAGGGGAAGGGAAGGGTAAGTTGGGGAGGGAGGGAGAGAGGGAGGGGGAGGGGTGGCGGGAGGTGCGTGGGATCGGGTTGGCAAGAGCGCGACGGCAGGCAGAGGCATGAGGGCTGACAGGTGTGTGAGAGCTGTGAGCTGGCCAATGGTATCAGGTATGGTCCCATTCAACCTTGCTCCGTAGAAGTCTCTGCCATCCACATTCCAACCAACCACTCCACACCACACCACACCACACCACACCACACCACTCCACACCACATCATCAGTCGCATCCCAGCACCAAAAAACAGAAGAGATAACAGAAGTCATGTCCGCCTAGCTCCATCTATGCAACCAAAAACAGCGTCAGGTAGGCAACCATATGCAACAGAAGCAAATAGGCAGCACGGCCGCACGGCCGCATGGCAGCACGGCAGCATGGCAGCATGGCAGCACGGCAGCATGGCAGCATGGCAGCACGGCAGCATGGCAGCATGGCAGCATGGCAGCATGGCAGCATGGCAGCATGGCAGCACGGCAGCATGGCAGCATGGCAGCATGCATATCCTACGCAGGCGGCATGCTAGTCTGGGGTCTACCCGTAAGGCGTCTTGGCAGGGTGGGGAAGAAATGGGAAGGCGGTAGAAGGTGGCAGGCTTGAGGTGTGGTAGCGGTGAGAGTAAGATGATGAGAAGAGAAGAGCGTGCAGCAGTGCGTACAATAAGCGCGAGAGGTGAGGTGCGTACAGGTAGGTGAGGGAGACGAGGTTGCCTATAGAGGCGGGCAGAGAGCCCTGCAGCACGTAGCCTTGAGGCGCCCTGTGTGTGTGGCACAGCATGGCACATGAGACATGCCACATGGCACATGAGACATGACACATGGCACATGAGACATGACACATGGCACATGAGACATGAGACATGGCACATGAGACATGACACATGGCACATGAGACATGAGACATGGCACATGAGGCATGGCACATGACGTTTGGCTCATGGCACGTGGCACACGCCGCATGGTACGGACACGGTTCATGCAGGTGGGAGGGATGAGGAACGCGCATGAGAAGGTGGGAAGAGGAGGGGAAGAGCGGCAGAGGAGGAAGGGAGGGAAGAAGGAAGAGAGGGAGGGAGGGCGTGAGGTTGAGGAAGGGAGACCGTGAGCGAGCGAATCCATGAGGCAGTTAATGAGGTGGGAGTGGCTGCGTCAGGTGGTGTGGAGTGGCGTGGAGTGGTGTGGAGTGTTGTGGAGCGCTGTAGAGTGCTGTGGAGCGCTGTACATCGGTGTGGGTGGGTGGATTGCGGTGCATGGCACTGACACACATTCTGGTGATCATGCCTTGCTCGTTGCACTGAATGGCCTCCGCCTTGCTGCAGTCCCCTCCGTTGCTCCACTGGCTCAACCGCACCTTCCACTCCGACTGACACTCCTCCAGCACCGCCGCTGCTCACATCACATCACATACGCGTTGCGCCATGTGCCATGAGCAAAGTGGGATCCGCAATGTGCCATGTGCAATGCCCAGCGCGCCATGCGCAATGAGCAGCGCGCCATGTGCCGTTGCACGCGTGCATGCGCGCAGGCGGTGGCGGGGATTCCAGGGAGAACAGTGGGAAGAGCGCGAAGCGGTGGGATTCAGCAAGGAACGGCGAGGGGAGAGGACGGAGAGAGCGGAGAGGACTGAGAAACAAACGGACGAACGAAGGCCTGGAGCAGCGGGCCGATGGATGCTGAGCGCAATGCACGCGCGAGTGCAGCTGGTAACTGATGGATATGTTCGGAAGGGTGGATTTCGACAGGTATACGAAATGCGGGGTGTGTTGCTCACATCAAGAACCCTTTCCGGCACCACCTGGAACCCACCTTGTGACGGGTCGAGAAGCTGCGACTGCGCGCGATGCACACGAGTGAAAGCGACTGTCACGATCAGCAGCCATGGCACCCACCGTCGCAGGCGGAGCTCCATTTGGCGCTACTGGAATCACCACTGTTGCGTGTGTGTGGATAATAATATCTCGGCTGGGAAAACCAGGCTGGGCCCTTCAATCACCTTGATAATGTTACAGATTATGGTCCAAGTTTCCAACATATTTCTGTAGTAAATGTGTGAAGGCACTAACGACCAGCTTTTTACGTGCATCTAAATCACTCAAGCTGACAAGGTTTTACGCTCACATGTATCAAATATTATGATAGACTGAGGCGTATGTGTCAGAATCCCCCAGGCCAACGTGCCTATAACCCTTCCCAAAGATCAATCGGGGAACTCCAGTGCACCTCTGACAATATGTTACCAATAGTAAATGGTGATAAGGCATTGTGCACTCCTGACAATAGCAACCGAGTCACACAGTAAGGAGTACGAAGATGAAGAGGCGGAATGACGCAAAGAGTCGCGTACGGTTACGAAGCATCTGGACCGTCAGGGCAGACAGCATTAGGCTGCAGCAGTGGCGAGGATTCTACCGGAACAGTTCGTAACCGTCTGGAGTCGCACGGTTGGATTTCGCTATAATAAGGGAATGTACCGCCATGTTAGAATAGTAGGCTTAGGAGAAACTAGGTTTTAGGAAAAGAGAGGATGTTTGGCCAAGAAAGGAAAGGTTTTGACTATGGAGAGAGATACAAGATAAAGGGCAAGGGAAGGTGGCCAAAGGGGGTATACCACCAACAATGAAATAGATGCTACACTAACTAGGCTAATATGCAGTTATACATAGAAATGCAATTTCTAACATCCCCCCTTAACTGCATACAAGCATAGCTAGTGAGGGGCGCTCTACCCTAAGTGCAGACTTCACCGAGCCGCAGCTGGGCCCACCGATACAACACACGATGGAAAGTCCGCCTGCGGTTTAACCCCCGCAGTGGATGCCTGGTGTGCGCTGTTGGAAACAATTAATTAAACGCTTCCTATGTGTCGTAACACCGAACTACAAACGAGGCGAACTACAGAGGAACAACGGCGAGTCAACCATCGGAGGTTGACAAGAGAAGTAACCGCCAGAGGTTACGCGAAGGTCAAAGGTCAGCGACCTTTGACTTGACAAATGCAGCGCGACAGCAAGGACAAACAACTGACTCGATACTGAGCAGTTGCCCGAGTCGTCACTGTATCGAACCGCAACAGCAACAGTAAAGTAGTTGCAACCGTATCCCTTCGTATTCCTTGTACTCTTATATAATCTTGTATCTCCTTGCTTTAATCAATCTACTTTGCCCTCACATACTAGCGCAAGGTGGTTCACAGACTTATCGTTAAACGCTTCCGCTATTACATCAATCCTACTCAGAGTTTAGTCCTGCAAAGTTCCAAAGGGCTTTTTCTCAGCCCAACATGGTATGAGAGCAAACAGGGCGAACTCCCATCAAGTTATCTACAACGTCAGAAGGCATGGCAACACAAAAGGAAAGGAGCTCCTCTAACGGCTCCCCGGGTACTACTCCTACTCCACCTCCCGCCTCTGGCCTACAGATAGAGGAGGGTACGGCAACAAGACCAAGAGCAACGTCTACTGAGACTCCTGCGAATCAATCTGCAGGCTTCGACCCAAGCATGATGGAGAAGTTCTTCTCCTTCATGTCCTTCTACGAGCAACATCAACAAACGGCACCTGCGCAGTCAAACATTAGCAACAACAACAACGACGTCACGCCCATGAGCCTTGATGGTTCATCCTATGCGCGCGGAAACCAGCAGCAACCTACCTTCGCCCCGTATGAACCTCAGCGTGGCTCCGTCAGCTTTATGCCACAACCACAACCTGCACATGGACAAGAGAAGACACTGGACGCACTTCAAGTTCAGTCGCAGTTCGCGCACGTCTTAAAACTGCAGACGTCAAGACCGTTCGACGGAAAGGACTTCTTCACCTGGTCATTCAAATTCGAGCTGATGATGGAGGGTGCGCAGATTCTCGGCTTCTTCGACGGGTCCCTGCCATATCCAACACACGGGACACAATACGACAAGCAGCAGTACACCTTCCAGTCAATGATGGCATACACAATTCTACTACGCAACATCACGCCAACCCAACAGCAGAACATTTGGTCTTATCGAGGATACGGCAACTCCGCCGAACTCGCGTACAACCACCTGAAGAACCTGTATCAAGCAACAGACAGCGTAAACCAGAGTCGGTTAATAGCGCAACTGACAACAGTGGAAATGAAACCGGGCGAAAAAGGGATGGCGTATATTAGTCGCTGCCGCGAATTACGCGACAAACTCCTTCGATGTGGAGGATCGATATCAGAAGACGCCTTCGTCACAGTTGTTATCGGCGGTCTTGGTTCACACTGGCGCTCCACTCGCACCATATTCCGAGCTCACGGGAAGATCTCCGAAGCAGCACTCTGCGCCGAAATTCACGCCGAGCAGCAAGACATGGACCTGCAAGAGGAGCGGCACAAGAAGAAAACATCAGTTCCCGAATTCGCGTTTCACACTCAACGGCGCTACAACAACAACAACAACCGGCATCAACCAAACCCCGTACCTCCGTTTTGTCACCTCTGCAAGACTTCAGGACATCCGCGCACACACTGCCCGAATCGACAACAGTCAACACCGCCACAGCGACAGCTTCGACCTTCAAGCAGCCAAGTCGCTTCAACACAAGCGAACCCCACCGCTCAAGTTCAAACAACATCAACGGGACAACCTGCACAAGGCGCAAGAAACATCGTCAGTTGTATGGCAAGACTGAGCGACTCCTGCATCACCGAGTCACCGCCACACTACTCACCGGAGGAGCAACTCGACAACTCCACACCTCGTCGCGAGTCACTTCAACCGAACCCAACGTACGCAGCTATCGCCCAGAGTGAGCCGTCCGGGAAAGATACTTGGTTCTTGGATAGTTGCTGCGGGCAGCACATGTGCTCTACGGGACGTTTCGTTCAGCGCGAGCACCAACTTCAACGCGAAGTCGTCATTACCGTCGCTAACAATCAAAACCTGCGCACACGACGACAAGGCGTGGTTCAACTTCAGTCAAGGGAGACAAACGTTATACTGCATATGTCAAAGGTCTTAATCGCGGAGGGACTCGGCTACAACTTACTGAGCGTCAGCCAGCTGATGGCGAAAGGCATCCACCTCGAAGCAGACAGCACAACACAGGAGTTCAAACTGTACCACGGGAAAGGAGGCCTTTACATCGGCAAGGCTGTGCTGAAGAACAACGTGTTCGTCCTCGACTTTGTTCCAGATCTAGGCACCGCCGACAGCGACGGAATCGTCACCTTCACCTCCTGGACGCACCCACCGGATTTTGATCCTGGCTTCAGTCCCGAAGGTTTCTGGTATTCGCATACCATTCCTGAGGCAGAACGAACAAGAGCATTAGCAACGATTCAACACTCGGCAGCAGCAGAGACAACATCGGCAGCAGCAGAGACAACATCGGCAGCAGCAGAGACAACATCGACAGCAGCAGAGACAACACCAGCAGCAGCAGAGACAACATCGGCACCAATCGCGGGTCCTTCAACTGCACCAGTCCCAATCGACGACGACACCCCACCGACTCCAGCACAGCAGCTGAATCCAACTCCTCGAGAAGTCCACCGAAGTACGAATCTCACTGCCAGTTTTTATTCCAACTCCGATCTGTACAGACGCTCACCCGGACATCGCGCCGACGAAGATCTCTGGCATAAAAGAATGGGACATCCGAGCAACACGACGTTAAACAACACGATAAGAGCAGGCGTTTTTGACAAAGATTCACTACTTCTACCCGACGGCAGAGAACTTCGACGAATGAGAGGAACCTGCTTCACCTGCCCAGAAGCCGACTTACCGCATCAGTCCTTCATCTCTCACCACAACCCGAGCGCACCAACTTACGCACCACTTGAAAAGGTGTACAGCGACATCCTGTACAATCGCGAACCTGGACAAGCGGCATACAACTATACCATCACGTTCATCGACGCCGCCACTCGTTATGTCTGGCATCTCAACCTTCCAAGCCGCGACATGGCCCTCGAAGCCTTCGTAGCCTGGCTCCCAGTAGCAGAACGGGAATCGGGAGTTAAGCTGAAAAGTTTCAGTCTGACGGAGGAGGAGAATACACCTCACAGAGGTTCAAGCAGTACTTGGCAGAGAGAGGAATCAAGCGGCTCATCTCCCTTCCCTACGCCCATCAACAACAGGGTGTGGCAGAAAGACTGAACAGGACCCTTCAGAACACCATGCGCAAGCTGCTACGTGGCATGCGGCTACCCAACCACCAGTGGCCCGAAGCAATGGACCACGCCGTGATGCTGCACAACTTGCTTTCATCATCATCGCTTCCAAACAACGCATCACCGCATCTGCCGTGGACAGGAAAACTGGGCAGCACAAAAATGTTGCGGAACTTCGGCTGCATGGTACAGTACCGACCCCCAGCTGCACGCGCTGGCCGATTCTCACAACGCGCACAGTGGGGGCTACACCTGGGCATCGAAAAGAATTACAACGCGTGGAAGATTTTTGACGTCCACTCAAAGGAAACAGTAGCAGCACGTGATGTCATTTTCTACGAACGACTCACCCTTTCAACGTACCTGTACAACTTGGAGACCTCCCGAGATGTCACAGGTGGATTTCGTGGGGACCGAGCCTTCGCTTCGGCAGAAGATGAAGCTGACCTGGACGAGCAAAACGTGGAAGGAGCCTCGGAGGAAGCCGGACCTCTCCCCTACTGCTCGGTCGATGTCCCGATGGACGACGAAAATCCACGCGACAGCATCAACGCCGAAGTGTACTATCACTTCGCCGACAACGGTTACGTTACACCTGCACAAGTCAACACCGACGAAGCAGAACGCGTAGGACCAAATTTCAACCCAACACCAGAAGCGGGAGATGAAGCAGTTTATCCCGAGGATACTTCACTCCCCCGCTACACACAAAGCGGACTCCAGATTCTCGGTCTCGTCACCGCGGTTCACGGCACGGCGATTCCTAGG